TACGCGCACAGGGGGTGAAGGGAGTACACCCGAAGGGGGTGAGAGGAGTACGTGTGAAGAGGGTGAGAGGCGAGCAAGGCGAGGAGAGTGGTGTGAGAGAGGAGGGCGGTGAGAGGAGAACGGTGAGAGGAGGAGGAGAGAAGGGGACACAGACCTGAGTGTCTCTATGAGTTGGCGTGCACATGCTGCCATCAGTGGCTGCACAGGGAGAGAGGAGGGAGGGAGGGAGAGGGGGAGGGGAGTGGGAAGGGAAAGAAGGGGGAAGGGCAGAGAGGGGGATTAAAGAGGGAGTGGAGAGGGAAGTGCGAGGGAGGGGAGATGGAGGTGAGAGGGAGAGGTATGAGGCATGAGGAGGCGCACCGCACCGCACCTCACCTCGCCTCACCTCACCTCACCTCACCTCGTCCTTTCATCCCAGAAGCACCTTGAGGCATGAGGAGGGCAGCAATGACAGTTTGAACACCGAGCTCCCTTGCTTCCCTCCCGCCTCCCCTCTCCCTTCCGATGCTCATCCCGTCCCACCACGCGCTACCACATCTGACCGCACTTCACCGCACTTCACTGCACCTCACCGGCTCATCACACTGCACCGCACTGCACCTCATCCCCAGCAGTACTGATACGTTGAACACGGAGCTCCCTTGCATCCCATCCCACCACATGCCACCGCGTCTCATCTCCCCTCACTGCATCTCACCTCGTCCCTTCTTCCCAGCAGTACTGACACATTGAAAACAGAGCTCCCTTCCATCCCTCCGATTTGCCCCCTCCCTTCCGCCCCCCCCACTTGCTCCCGCCTACACAGGACAACAGGTGAGGGGCGGAACAAAGAAAAAGGGGAAACAAAGTGGGCGGGGAGCAGGGAAGGGTGAAGCAGGGGAGGGGGTGAAGCAGGGGAGGGGGTGAACAGGGGAGGGGGTGAACAGGGGAGGGGGTGAACAGGGGAGGGGGTGAACAGGGGAGGGGAAAAAAACGAAGGGGCCGAGCAGGGGAGGGAGGAAAGAAAGAATAAGGGGGGAAGCGGAGGGCGGAAACAAACAGGTGAGGTTGGAAACAAACAGGTGAGGTTGGAAACAAAGACGGGGGAGAGCAGTGGGACCCATCCATGCTCCCTCTGCACCCACCCATGCTCCCTCTGCACCCATCCATGCTCCCTCTGCACCCACCCATGCTCCCAATGCACCCACCCATGCTCCCTCTGCACCCACCCATGCTCCCTCTGCACCCACCCATGCTCCCTCTGCACCCACCCATGCTCCCTCTGCACCCACCCATGCTCCCTCTGCACCCACCCATGCTCCCTCTGCACCCACCCATGCTCCCTCTGCACCCACCCATGCTCCCTCTGCACCCACCCATGCTCCCTCTGCACCCACCCATGCTCCCTCTGCACCCGCCCATGCTCCCTCTGTACCCATCCATGCTCCCTCTGCACCCATCCAACCCCATCCGCCCACCTGGCATACAGCATGGTACCCAGCTTGCCAATCTGAGTCAACACCACCTGAATCACCTCTGTAAACTTCTGTGTCCCTCTACATCCCTCTACACTCCTCCATGCTCCCTCTGCACCCACCCACCTTGCATATAGCATGGTTCCTAACGTGCCAATCTGAGTCACCACCACCTGTAGCAGGGAGGGGATGGGAGGCAGAAGAGGGGGAAGGGAGGCAGAAGAGGGGAAAGGGACGCAGGGGAAGGGGGGAGCATGGGAGGTTTTAAACATGAGAGGGTGATGGCAAACGACAAGAGTCTGTTTTTGAGTCGACTCAAAAACAGGGTGATGGCAAACGACATGTGTGATGGCCAAATGGGGACAAAAAAGCAGGAGGCGAGAATTAAAATCTTCAGGGGATGAGAGGTGAAAGGAAACCGGAAATGTGGTGTGTGTGTGAACACAGGGGACTGAGGGAGGGTGTGTGGTGTGTGGTGTGTGTGTGCGTGGTGGAAGCAGGACGAAAGCGAAAGTTGCAGAAAGGGAATTTGCAACACAGCTTGAAACCGGGAAGAGGTGGGGATGGTGGGAGCAGGCATGCAGGCAGAGGAAGGAGGGGGGGGGGGGGAGGGGGAGGGGGGGGAGCAGGCAGGCGCGCAGCAGAAGCAGCAGCAGCACCAGCAGCAGCACCAGCAGCAGGGGCAGCAGCAGGGGAGGCGCGGTGTAGGCACCATGAGGCGGTCGTCGTATGAGAGGCAGAGAAACGTGGTTGCCGTGCCCTGATGGCCGGGGATGGGCGAGGATGGGCGCGGATGGGTGGGGATGGGTGGGGATGGGTGGGGATGGGCGGGGATGGGCGGGGATGGGCGGGGCAACATGTGGGGTTGAAGCATGTGAGCATGTTGTTGCTAGTGTTGGGTGCTCATGCGATCTCTCCCCCCATTGGAGGAATGTGGACACGTGATCACGCCCATGTGCGCCCATTTGCCACTACGTGCACCCATGTGCGCCCATTTGCGCCCATTTGCACCCATGTACGCCCCATGCAACTTGTAAGGAAGCTTGGTGTTGCAAGCATGGAGTGCTTGTGCCATTCTTTCCATGAAGGTGTGGAGACACGTGCGCCCACGTGCGCCTATGCGAGCCTATGCACGCTGAAGTGCGCAGATGTAAGCTTGGTGTTGCAAGTGTTGGGTGCTTGTGCGCTCCCTCCCATGGATGTATCGAGACTCGTGCGCTGAGGTGCGCCTATTTGCCCCTATGTATGCATCTGCTCGCCTGCGCGCGCCTTTTATGCGCCTACGTGCGCACGTATGCATCAATGTGCGCGTGTATGCGCCTATGTGCGCCTATGTGCGCGCGTGCACCCATCTGCGCTCATCTGCGCGAACCTCGATATCCGCGCTGAACTGCTTCGACCGCACAGGAAACTCCGCCCCGCTTTCGCTGCTGCCAGTCCCTTCCCCGCCTGCTGCCCCTCCGCCCTCCCCCGTCTCCTCCATGCCCACCTCCCCCTTTCCCCACGTTCCCCCCTGCTGTTGTCTAGAGCTTCTTTTTCCAATGCCAATCAACGGTAACCGCTTGAAGCGATTTTTGAGGCCAATAAATCGATTATTGACATTAATTTCTTTCCCCCCAGCCAATCAACGGTGGCCTTTAGAGTCGCGTGAACAGTCAAATCCCCTTACACCTCCCTACTGAATCCCCCTTGCTGCTATAGATAGATTCTTCGCACCCTGCACAGTCAAACCCCCCCCTCCCCGTTCACCCCCCGGCTCCCCTGCGATGATTTGATACGTTTTTCGCGTCAATTAGTATTGATCACTTTCCCTCTGCCACTCAGGAATAAGCGCTACTCTGCACTAGGAGCGATACGTTAGGGCAATACGCTCGCTCGCTCGCTCGCTGCTGCTGTGCTGCGATACCTAGATTGCGAGCGATGCGATGCTGATGGAGATTGCTGGTTGCTGCTGGGTTAGAAAGGATACTCTTGTATGGCAACCCACCAAAGGTCCGATTCTTTGAACGCAGATTGGTAGGATGGCGTATGCCCAAGAGAATTTGGATGAGGTTGGGTGTGATCCACCTGACGATATGTTCTTGTTGAGAATTGCGACTTCGAGATAAACTTCGTTAGAGCTGGTAATCAGGAAACGAGAACCTGGATTGACTATTTAACTGACTGGACGAAACAGTCTCGCGACTACAAACAAAGAGTTTGAGTAACCTGACAGAACAAAATCTTTTCAAAAATTCCTTGTAACACGCTCTAGTTTGCCGTGTTGAGCATGTTGCATGGAATCTTGTGTGTATAGGCAACCCTAAATTCGAGTCACTCGTTATTGTCAGCCCTAAATAATCGGTCAGAACCACTTTCATATACCCAGCAGTCGGCAAAGCAAGCTGTTACGAGTGCAATTGAGTGAACGAACGAGAATTGCACTATCGAAGCAAGAATACAATGAGCGAAGGCATGAGCGAAGAATATATAGCGAAACTACAGTGGTAACGGTAATGGTCTGTGGTAGTCGCGCGACGAGCCTGGGACTTAGGTTGGGAAAGTGTCGAAGCGTAGGCCCGGAGCGCGGGTTACCAGCCGAGCCGTGCGGTTGGGGTGCGATGCGCGAAGTTGGCGGGATGATTGTAGATGCGAGGATCGCGTGTGGTAACGGTGCTGACTGAGGTGCTAGAGTGATGTACGCGTTGAGCAGGGATGAGAAATAAGGAAAAGGGATTTTCGGTTAACGATGACTTCGGTAATAGTGGGTTTTAATTTGCATCCAGTTCTAGCTCTTACCTTTCTGCCGCCTGCTGCTCGAACTAATTGCCAACCAGTCAATTTCGCCACCTGAGCTTGCTCGCAGCTGTGATCGCTTTCGACGCATCCGCGTATAAGGACGCTTCAAAACTCGTTTAGCGACGCTCTCCCCCATTGACCCTCTTCACGCCACCTCCTGTCATTCGTGCGATGTCCGCCGCTAGGCCTGACGGTGGCCGGCCAGGGACGGACAGCGACGCTGCCGGCGACACGTGCTGCGCGCGGTTAGAGTTGACGGCCGACAGCGAGGCGAGCCGGCTGTATGTGCTGTCGCGGTGGGGAGAGGCGCGCTGCGAGCTGACTGTCAGCGACGGCCGCTCCGCTTGGACGGGCTGCGGTCAGTCAGTCAGTCATTCCGTCAGCTCGTCAGTCATTCCGTCAGTCAGTCCTTCCGTCCGCCCGTCAGTCAGTCAGTCAGTGACGGCCGCTCTTCCTGAACGTATTGCTGTGAGTGAGGGAGTGATGAGGGTGAGTGAGGTACTAGTGATGAGGAGTGAGTGAGGGAGTGATGAAGAGTGAGTGAGGGAGTGATGGGGAGTGAGCAGTGATGAGGAGTGAGGGAGTGACAAGGACTGAGTGAGGGAGTGATGAGGAGTGAGCGAGTGAGTGATGAGGAGTGAGTGAGTGAGCAAGTCAGCCCGTCACTCAGTTGCTGCATGTGTTGCTGGCAGGCAGGCAGTGGGGTTACTTTTGATTCCTCTCAAAAGATGCCACGATGACCTTTGAGGCGCCTCAAACGATGCCACAATGACCTTTGAGGCGCCTCAAAATGCTGCATACCTTGGTGGCAGGCAGTGGGGTTACATGGGCTGCTTCGTTCGTTCCTCCACTCCATCTCCGCTACAGCCTCCCTTTCTTGGACGCCTCCAATCCAAAGTCCTCCACTCATTTCTGCTACAGCCTCGTCTTTTGAGACGTCTTCATAATTCTTTCACTCCATCTCTGCTACAGCCTCCCCCTCGCCCGCTCGTTTCTTCCCTCTCGAATTCATGGGCAGTGGAGGAGGAGGAGATGTGGGAGAAGGCCGAGGCATGGGGGTTTCAGGCGCCAGGTGAATACAACAGAGACGTGCTCCGACCGGCTCTGTCTCAGGTGAATTCAACAGACACGTTCTATCAGCAGCTGTTACTCTTACTATACATTCCCACCGAAGCACCACTTAGATTCCACATCATCCATCAAATCTCTGCACCCCACCAGCTGGGAATAATGTTTTAGCAGCTGAAGAACCGTTTTGAGACGTCTCAAAACACTTAGATTCCACATCATCCATCAAATCTTCGCACCCCACCCCACCACCTGGGAATAAATTTCGAGCAGCTGAAGAAACCATTCCTTCTCTCACCCTCCTTTCTCATTCCCTCGTTCAACTTCGTTTCACACCCCCACCTTTCTTTTCCTCCTCTCCTCTCCTCTCCTCTCCTCTCCTCTCCTCTCCTCTCCTCTCCTCTCCTCTCCTCTCCTCTCCTCTCCTCTCGTCTCCTCTCGTCCCCTCTCCTCTCCGCCATCCCCTTCCCCACCAGCCATCTGCATCGCTCCGCTTCACATGGGGGCGGCGCACCAAGAGAGCCCGAGCATCTCAAGAGCAGCCTGCCACGTGGCAGGTGCGCATTGCATGTCTGCCGACTGGGTAGGATGGCTGTAGCCGACTGGGTAGGATGGCTGTAGCCGACTGGGTAGGATGGCTGTAGCCGACTGGGTAGGATGGCTGTAGCCGACTGGGTAGGATGGCTGTAGCCGACTGGGTAGGATGGCTGTAGCCGACTGGGTAGGATGGCTGTAGCCGACTGGGTAGGATGGCTGTAGCCGACTGGGTAGGATGGCTGTAGCCGACTGGGTAGGATGGCTGTAGCCGACTGGGTAGGATGGCTGTAGCTGACTGATTGGATAGCTGTAGCTGCCTGGGTAGGATGGCTGTAGCTGACTGATTGGATAGCTGTAGCTGCCTGGGTAGGATGGCTGTCAAGCATAAGAACCGACTCATTCTTCCCCATTTTCTTCCCCCTCCCAACCTCCCCGTTTGCTCCCCGTTCCCACCTCTTCTCCCCCCTTTTCTCAGCTCGCATAGGCAGTACAGCGGGCAGAGTTAGAGCTGAGGGCGAGCATGGTGGTGCTGAGAGCGGTGGCAGCAGTGACCTGGTCTGCCCTTGAAGCACTCAGCAGCCCAAGTGCTCCTCGCCTCGCCCCCTTCCTCTTCCCTTCTCAGCTCGCATGGGCAGTGCAGCGGACAGGCGTGGAGATGAGGCCGAGTGTGCAGCTGAGGGCGGTGGAGGGCGAGGAGCAGCAACGAGCAGCAGTGCGACGGATACTCGATGAAGCCATGAGCGGGGCGGCTGTTGCACAGGTGGGGTGAGGGTGGGTGTGGGGGTGTATATGAGGTGGCATGGCAGAGGGGGCGAGGAGCAGCAGCGAGCAGCAGTGAGGCGCATTCTCGATGTAGCCTTGCGAGGGGCTGCTGCTGCACAGGCGGGGTGTTGTGGGGTGGGTGCATGGCGTGGCGTGGCATGGCGTGGCGTGGCATGGTGTGGCGTGGCATGGCGTGGCGTGGAATCGCGTGGCATGGCATGGCGTGGCATGGCAGGAGCAGCAGCGAGCAGCAGTGGGGCGCATTCTCGATGCTGCTGCTGCTGCTGCCGCCGCCGCCGCCGCCGCCGCCGCCGCCGCCGCCGCCGCCGCCGCCGCCGCCGCCGCCGCCGCCGCCGCCGCCGCCGCCGCCGCCGCCGCCGCTGCTGCTGCCGCTGCTGCTGCTGCCGCTTCTGCTGCCGCTGCTGCTGCTGCCGCTTCTGCTGCTGCTGCCGCTGCTGCTTCTCTGGTGATTTGTGCATGTCATTGTCATAGCATGCATGTCACAGCATGCATATCGATGCAGGCAGGCAGGCATGCAGGCATAGCATGGCAGTCCGTTCGAGGAGCAGCATTGCAGAAGGGAGGCATGTGGGAGCAGTGCTCAACTGCAGTTCAGCTTGTGTATCCTATTCTTCCCTTCCCCCCCAATCTCTTTTTGTAAAGCGCCTCAGAAAGAGGCATGTGGGAGGCTGCAGTTGAGCTTGTGTATCCACTACCTCCTCCCCCCCCCAATCTCTTTTTGTAAAGCGCCTCAGAAAGAGGCATGTGGGAGGCTGCATTTCAGCTCGTGTACACTCTACCTCCTCTTCTCCCCCCCCCTCCCATTCTCCTCCCCTGCCTCTTCCCCTCCCCCCCCCCTTTTTTTTCCCGTTTTCCACCCTCTCTTGTTCACAGGCAGAGCAGCAGTGCAGCAGGGAGGCATGCGGGAGGATGCAGAGGGAGGCAGAGCGGTGCTTACAGCAGAGCGAGCGGTTCAGAGAGGAGAAGAGCCGCCTGGAGGACGAGCTGCTGGGGAAGGTGTGTGTGCTGTGTGTGCGGTCGGGTGTGCTTGTAGCGGTGTGCCTGTAACGGTGGAATGCAACAGTGTGATTGTAACGGTGTGATTGTAACGGTGTGATCGTAACGGTGTGCTTAATAGTGTAGCTTCTTATGTTGTGGGTTGAGGGATGCAGGCAAGGCACTGTGAGTGTGGGGGTATGTGGGGGTATGAGGAGGGGCGTGAGGGGTGTGAGGGGCATGAGGGGTGTGAGGGGCATGAGGGGTGTGAGGGGCATGAGGGGTGTGAGGGGCATGAGGGGTGTGAGGGGCATGAGGGGTGTGAGGGGCGTGAGGGGTGTGAGGGGCATGAGGGGTGTGAGGGGCGTGAGGGGTGTGAGGGGCATGAGGGGTGTGAGGGGCATGAGGGGTGTGAGGGGCATGAGGGGTGTGGTGTGAGGAGGCAGAGGTTTGAGGATTCTGAGGAGAGTGGGGAGGTTGAGAGGGTTGAGAAGGTTGAGAGGGTTGAGAAGGTTGAGAGGGTTGAGAGGGTTGAGGAGGCCGCGGAGAGTGAGGTTGTGGCTATACTGTGCAGTGCATCAGGGATGGGAAGGAGGCGCCTTACAGCAGCGCTGCTTCGTTTGCTTTGTCTGCTTTGTTTGTTTGCACTGCTCAGTCTTTCTCCACTTGAGCCGCCTTTTTGGATTTTAGACGACTCAAAAGCAGACTCAATCTTTCTCTACTTGAGCCCCCTTTTTGTTTGTTTTCCCAGTGCTTGGAAAGTTGATGCCTGAAATCGTAGTTGTGCGTGCATGGGAATCTCTCTCTCTGCAACGCTTTGCACCCCCCTGTAGTTCCTTCTAGTTCTCAACGCCAAGAAAGCAAAAGTACGAGAGCTCGAGGCTTCTCTACAGGGGGGCACAGGTGCGGGGGGGGGAAATGGAGGAGGCTTGGGGCGTCTCACATCTCTCTGCACCCCGCTGCACCCCTTTGCACCCCTCTGCAGTTCCTGCTAGTTCTCAACTCCAAAAAGGCAAAAATACGAGAGCTGGAGGCCTTTCTACAGAAGGGGGCAGGTGCGGGGGGAGGAGGTGGAGGAGCAAAGGGAGGAGGCGGAGGAGCAAAGGCAGGGAGTGGCAGTGCAGGGCGAGTGGGGAAGGGGCGATGAGAGCAGGAGGCAGCAGAGGCAAGGCAGGAGGCAAGGCAAGACGGAGGTGCAGGAGGAGACGGAGGTGCAGGAGGAAGAGGGCGAGCGGGTAAGGGGCGATGAGAGTATGGGAAGCAGGAGGAAGAGGGCGAACGGGTAAGGGGCGATGAGAGTATGGGAAGCAGGAGGAAGAGGGCGAGCGGGTAAGGGGCGATGAGAGTATGGGAAGCAGGAGGAAGAGGGCGAGCGGGTAAGGGGCGATGAGAGTATGGGAAGCAGAAGGAAGAGGGCGAGCGGGTAAGGGGCGATGAGAGTATGGGAAGCAGGAGGAAGAGGGCGAGCGGGTAAGGGGCGATGAGAGTATGGGAAGCAGGAGGAAGAGGGCGAGCGGGTAAGGGGCGATGAGAGTATGGGAAGCAGAAGGAAGAGGGCGAGCGGGTAAGGGGCGATGAGAGTATGGGAAGCAGGAGGAAGAGGGCGAGCGGGTAAGGGGCGATGAGAGTATGGGAAGCAGGAGGAAGAGGGCGAGCGGGTAAGGGGCGATGAGAGTATGGGAAGCAGGAGGAAGAGGGCGAGCGGGTAAGGGGCGATGAGAGTATGGGAAGCAGGAGGCAGCAGAGGTAGGAGAGGCATGGAACGAGACTGGTGCCCAAAACTTAACTTCTGAGGCGCCTCAGACGACAGAGCCATCATTTGGAATGGGCCGGGCCTGGGGTTAATCCTCTAGTGTGTGATTCGTTACAGTGCTATTGTTGGTGTGATAGTGCAGAGATGTGGCTGCCTATGGCTGCCTCTACAGGTGTTTGTAATCATGTGGCTCCAGTCCAGTCCCCACAAGAGTATTATCTACATGGACTCACCTCACCTCACCTCACCTCACCTCACCTCATCTCACCTTACCTCACCTCACCACGAAGCCCAAATGGAGGTTTAAAAGACAGGTTTCGGCAACATCATTGGGCTGTCTGTCAACAAGCTAAATAGGGGGTGTTGTCAAGACGTTACATGCAGCACTTCTCCACAAAGCATTTACGGTACCACGAGTTGTCTGTTCGCAAATGGGGGGCATTGTTCGCAAGCACTCCTCCACAAAGCATTTACGGTACCAGGAGTGCAGTAACCAAGCTTGGCTGGATAATGGAATGGATTGGACCTTTTCAAAGCTGAGTATTCTACCGTCAGAGTGTCTGTCTTCTTCCATGCTATGAGTAGACTCTGCACTATACTCAACTCCCAGACACCTTTACATCCGCACTTGAGCTTTTGACCTGAGATGCTGGCTGCAGCATCGCATCGCATCCCATCAGATAGACATTTCCTTAGCACGGGACGGGACAGGAGGCGTGAGTCACGTGCAGATGAGTGGATGGAGGCATCTCATGAGTGACCTTACCCTAATAAATTCCAGCAGCCCGCTCGTTTATCTCTCCCTCAGCAGCAGCAGCAGCCGCTGCTTCTCCTCCACTCCAGCAGAGGAGCCTTGTTCCGCTTCTTTCTGCTTTGAGGCGCCTGATACCACGATGACTCTTGAGTCGACTCAAAAGTCAACTCTGCTTTGAGGCGCCTCACACCATGAATGGTGATAATAGATTTCAGCAGCCCAGCAGCCCACTGGTCTATCTCTCCCCCAGCAGCAGCGGCAGCCGCTGCTTCTCCTCCACCAGCGCCTCGTTCTGCTTCATCTGAGCCGCCACCTGCCTGCTCGCCTCTGCCACTTCTGCTTTCATCGTCCTGCAGAGCGGTGCAGAGCTGTGCACGTGTTGGCTGGAGACTTGTCACGTGCAACAAGCGGGTCTCTCTCGTAGTTTGAGGCTCCTCACAAGATGACATGAGCTGCCGCACGCAACAACCCAGCAGTCACTCTATCTCTCCCCCAGCAGCAGCAGCAGCTGCTGCTTTTCCCCCATCAGAGCCTCATTGCGCTTCCTCTGAACCGCCACCTGCCGGCTCGCCTCTGCCAGGTCCGCTCTCATCGCCTTGCACAGCGCTGTGAGCTCACGCGTCTGGAGTAATCATGGTCACATTTGGAACAAGGGCCAGAGAGAGAGGGGGCGAGAGAAAGAGGGGGCCAGAGAGAGAGGGGGCGAGAGAAAGAGGGGGCCAGAGAGAGAGGGGGCGAGAGAAAGAGGGGGCCAGAGAAAGAGGGGGCGAGAGAAAGAGGGTGAGGATGGCACCGCTCAGTGACATGCAGGGAGCTATTGGCTCGCGTGTCTATTGTGGTTGATGTGATTGTTGTGGTGCGGTTGTTAAAACATTGGCAAGGGGGGAATGCATGTCAGGGTAACTTAAGAAACGGGTTGGAATTAAAAGGGGTATTCAAAATAGAAGTTTTAAGAGGGGGTGTCAGTCAGACCCCGCATTCCAGCCACACTAGTTGCCGCTGTTATCTGTTGCATGCGACTCAAAAAGCATATCCCAAAAAGACAACTCTGGGGGGTACCGTACCTCGCATTCCAGTTTCTGCAGGTGCTGCTGCTGTCGAATGCGGATGCGCTTGGCTGACGCTCTGTTGGCCGCCCGCCTGCACATCATGAGAGCAACCATGGGATGGGATGGGGGAGACGGTGAGACAGCATAAGCATGGGGATGCTTGACACGGGGACATGGGTACATGCAAATGCGCATGGCTGATGCTGCTGAGCTGCTGCACTCTTTGGGATAGCAGGCCGGGTGGAGGGGACGGGAGCGGAGGACTCACCGCCTGGATTTCTGCATGGCAGCAGCAGTCCTTGGCACCGCTCCTCCACTCCCTGGCTTCGAGTACCCGTATCCCCGAGTCGCTCTGCTGCTCGCGTCCACGTCAGCAGCCACGTCAGCGCCCACGTCAGCATCCATGTCAGCGTCCAGGTCAACTTTCTCCTCTTTCTTGACAGTGAAAACATTCTGAGCAGCGCCTATAATTGTCCCCCTGGCAGCAGTCGCCTTAAACTGCCGCTGCTCCTCTGAGTTGGTTCCACACGGGGGAAACACGGGAAACATCATGGTGTCGTGTCGGGGGGGCGTGCTTGGCAAGCCAGGGGGAACGGTGGACTCATACAGGCAGGATGAACCTCTGCTGTTGCACTCCCCCTTGCAATCTCCCTTGCAGTCATCGTTTAAGACTGTGTGGTAACCAGTGTCGTAACCCGTGCTGCACCCACAGTTGCAATCATCACTGCTCGTGCTGGCGTAGCCGCCAGGAGGGGGGAGCACCAGAGCTGGCAACCCTGTTACCACATGCCAGCTGGGAACGGTGGGCTCCATGGGGGTGGGGAGAAACACGGATGCTGACGTGGCACAGGCAGCGGCAGCAACAGGCGTGCGTTCGGCACAGGCAGAGGGAGAAGCAGAGACAAGGGAGGTGGAGGCAGGGGTAGTCGTGCGTGCATAGTTGAAAAAAACAGGTGGGTTTGAAGACGGCTGCAGCGCCAACGGCTCATGATCGAGCAATGCTGATGCGATAAAGCTGTCGGCTACCTTGTCGCGGTTGTTTTTCTCGTCTTTTCGGGTCAATAGGCCCTCATTCTGTTCCTCCTTGCCAGCCCCATCAAGACAAGTTTCTTCTGATACCTTCTCTTCCATCCCCTCCGTTTCAATCCCCTCCTTTTTAGTCCCCTCCACTTCAGTTCTCTCCATAGCAAACAGCCCAGTACCCAGCTCCAGGCCAAAATGTCCGTTCGCCCCATCCTCGTTATTAGCATCTCCCTCCTCCGTGCTGGAATCAGCTTCACATTGGCCGCTTCCGTAGCCGCTCAGACGACTCGCGCTGACGTCATCCGCCGTTTCGCTGGCGTCAGCACCAGCCGTCAGCTGTGCGTCATCCAGGTCGCAAAGAGAAACCAGGTTATTCCAAGAAGGCTCTTTTCCTTTGAGAGTAGTCGGGTTTTTGCAGGGAAAATCACCCTGCATTGTATCCACAGTCTCCTCGTCCTTCCGCCATGGTGCAGTTGGGGTTGCGGCTGAGGTGTTATGCGGAACAACGAGCGCGGAAGTTGGCGCACGCGCAGCGGAAGGTTTTCGCGCAGATCCAACCTTGAGAACTGGTTTTGGCGACAGCGTGGGGGCTGGCGAAAATTGAGTTTTATTCTGCGAAACCCGAGTTGACGAATCATTTGGCAGAGACAGCTTCAATGCCGAAAATGGAACGGACGAAACTCGAGAAACTGGCAGAATCTGGCCGTCCGAAATCTGATGGGGTAACGCCGCAACCGTCGTATAGAAACCCACATGTTCGTCAGCTGGAGGCGAAACAGCAGTGATGAGCGGGACAAGAAGTTCTGGCTCTGACAGAAAAACTTCAGGGTTTGTCGAGTAAGTTGCTGTTTCCGTACGAGCACCGTACGTTTCCTCGTTCTCCTTCTTGTGAAGCCGCGCGTCCACTTGAATAACTTCGGCGTGCGCTTTAGAAGCTTGGTTGTCGCGTGGAGATTGCTCTTCGGCGGGAGTTTGTACGAACGTGGGTTGAGAGATGTCCTCACAGCGAGGGAAAGTGGTGTGACGGCCCCGGGGTGAAACAGCCGCGAAACTAGTAGGAGTCTCAACATTCCACGCTGGTTCCTTAGCCGCCTCGGGTTTTCGCGGCGGCGCCGCGACATCGCCGATAGACACGTGGCGCCCGTCCTCGAATGCCATCATATGCTGCGACGTCGCGTACGGAAGCGATGGCGTCACGGTCGCGTGCTTTTTCCGCTTAATATTCTGGAGCAATCCGAAGATCGTCGTTGGACATTCCGTAGTACCCCGCGACGTCGCCGACGCCGCGACTCTCTGCGCCGTCGCCGGCCATTCCGCCAATGCCTTGTATCGAAGCAAACGGCCTTGGGACGCGGCGGCGGAAGCGGAAAGCGACGACTCAGACGACCGTGGGCTAGCAACCGCTGTCCGCAGATGACATTTGATCCGTCCAATCTCCTCGAGTGTTCCCTCCACTGCCGGAAAGGACGATTCGTCGAGCACATCATGTCGCAGAGCTCTGTCGCAACCTCGTCGCTTCGGCTCCGGCGACTCCAGATCAGTCGCTCCGCTTCGAGTGGACCGACAAAGCGCCACGCATCGCTTCCCAAGAACGCTCGTCAGCGGCTTCTGAGTCTCCGATGCGTGGACATGATTATGTTTCGAGCCGCCGACGTTATGGCGATTTTTAAGCCCATACTGAGCTGTAACGTGAAGCGTTGTCGTAATGCTACTCGTAGTAGACGGGTAGTGATAGTAACAGTCACGCTTGCGCGGCTGAGAGCATTCCGGAAGACCGTCGGCCGCCGCGGCGGAGGGGAAATGAGACGTGTTGCGCCCGCGCCCGCGATGGGCGCCGCATTCTGCGCTTGACGGTGTTGTTGGTGGGTAGATGTCGCTGAGACAGGTATTCATGGCCGCGAATGTTATCATTTTTAGTTGCGAAGGACAATGTGCTTAGCAAAATATTCAACAGCTTGTTTTTCACGCCGGCCCGCGCTCAAGAAGACGTTGCGACGATTCAAGGACCGTGAGAGGTTGTGTTGTGATTGGGACTGGAGCTTCACAAGTTGTAAGAATCACATTTGGAGGCACGACATGATAGACTGTAAATAAAGAAATGTCTGTTTGTGGGAGGGGTGAGGTGAGGAAGCAAGCAAGGACACGGCGGGTCGTGAGCGATACAGAAACAAGAAGGATGGTGTGTCGTGTCGTGCCATGTCGTATTGTACAGTATCGTGTCCTCATGGGTTGCTGGAGCAGAAGCCTGGCTGGTGGAATGGAAACGGAAAACAATGTCGACCGCGGGGGCGCGCCGGAATGAAATGAATATCTCAGATACAGCCGCTACAATCTAGTCCCCGCTGCAGACAGACTGGAGTAGGCTGAGCTGGCTGCCCTGCCAAGCTAGTGGTCCATCTAGGCAGGTCAGCCATGATAGTCGCCTCGCCACTCGAACCTCCCTCCCGCAATTTCAAGGGAAATTTCCAGCATTGCAAACGCCAACGTGCTGGCTCGCTGCTGCCGCTTGCTCTTCTTGCCAGTTTTCTTGTTTGCTTGTTGGTGGTGAGGCGAGGTGATTGTGCCAAGGGAACTGGTTGCGTGTGGGGAAGGAACGAGTGGGATCTGCTGGACTGGTTTGGTATGGGGCGAATGGAAGAGAAGGGAGGGACCGAGAAATTCGCCGCGGCAAGCGGGTGGAGCGGAACAGTTCTCGAATCCCAATGGTTGCCGGAGCAATTTGAACTCTGGACTCGAGTTCTGTCGAGTAGGGGCAAAGAAGGGTTTTAGGGGGAGGAAATGACGGAGCGCCGTGTTTCCTAGTTTCCAATTCCAATGAGCAGTTGTTTTGACAGCTCATTGCTCCACGCTCTCGTCCAATCCCTTGGGGCATATTATTTCTCCGTTTCCCCTTTTGAGTCCACAAACACAGATGTTTTTTGTTTTCAGGACTTTCAAAAAGCTTCGTCGAGTCAATCAAACGCGCATCTCGGGACAGAACAATAAAATCCTCATGTATGGTATGCGTCCTAAAGCGGCCCAGTCAAGTTAGATGGGACTTCCGAAGGTTGAGGTTCCTGGTTCAAACCCCAGTGCCGGCGAGTTCCGCCAGCCCCCCAGAAGAGGGTTTCGCACTGCTCATCTGGGAGTGGATATATCCTTACCTTGAAACCCAGCGAGGTGTGTAAACAAGTGGGTAGGTGGATTATGATCGACAGCCGGGGGTAACCCAAAGAGAGCTGTCCCCCCTCCTTCACCTCATGTACAGTATGCCACTAAGAGGGCATCAACCCACCATGAGGCAAGGTGTTTGGGGTTGATGCCTCCCAAAGTCCTTGTCACCCGAGTGGGTTTTAGTTTTGCCACTGCCCACCATGTTGAAACCAGGTTGACTTTGTATTTGCCCTTTTTTACGTTTGGTCACGAGAAATGGGAAATAACAATATAAACTGCCCGTGAGAACTGGGCGCGAGCGCGGAGGGAGTCGCTCTCAAAGTCACTGCCGAAAGAAATCGAAAACGCAAAAGCACGGCGGTCCGTCATCTCCTCGTTTTGGGGGATTTTCTGGGTGGGTTGAAATGAGCTCTGATCTGACGAAGTTTGGCTTGGGCTTGGGGATGGTTTGACCTGGTTTGGTGCGCCGTCTGACATGCTGTGCTCTACTGTTGTTCGGGGACAATCTGTGCCCTGACTATGACAGCGCGTAACGACAAACGACACACGTGATGCAATGAGTAGAATGGGAAGCAGAATGCTGCAACCGCTCTCTGAACGTCTTTTATTTCGGAGAGGCCAGAACCGATTTTATATTTTTCTTCTTTTTTGGCATTTGTTTCGAAGGATGTACATTACCTACCTACTGTAGTCAGTGGAGGCCACTGTTATCAATTGGTCTCCCAAGACAGAATCTTGTCCAAGCCCTGAGCGACGAAGAAAGAGGGAAAAACTCAACCCCCTTCAGATCAGGCCTAATAATTGCAGCAAAGCTGACGTGGGGCGAAATCTCGCGAGTTTTCTTCCACTGCCATGCCGGTGAGGCGCTGACAGGGCAAGGCAATTGACACGCTGGCAGCAGGTCGTGTCCCTACTCAGCAGCAAAAAAGAAACGGCAATTTACTCTACAACATTTTTGAACTGATATAGTTTCGTGTGCACCGCGCCCGAATGTTATTTCCCAAACTCGAGCGCACCAAATTCTGTTGTCACAACAGTAATTCGTTGAAAAGCGCAAGAACATGCATTTGTTACGAGTGCAATGCAACAAAGCCCCTTCGGCTTCAAAAGATCTGTTCAGACGGTGTGACATGGCAACTCCACGTGCGATGCTGTCACACCGAAGTGTCCGCGAATGCGCGCTGCGACATGAAGGCGGCGAGGCACGAGCATTTTCAGTGCACGTCCCAGAATTTAACTAACTGTCCACCGTAACTGCTGTAACTGATATCTGCTTCGCATGTATTGCTGCCGTAATACACTTAGGACACCAAATGAACTGGCTCAATAAACACGTCCAATGAAAATGCTACTACAAAAGAAGCTTGCATCTACATCCAGACGAGATATAGTACCGTGTCTCTAATATGTCATCAGCTCTGACCTGCTAAACCTTCAAAACCCCAGCCCATCCTAATACTGGATCACAATCTAAAGCAAACTACAACCCTATCCACCCAACCCAACCCAATCCTTTCAGCCACTTAACCTCTTCCAACCCACCCAAAGACAAGATAACTACACCTCAACAATAATTACCCTCTAATGAATAAAGCCAAGCTGGCAGTCATAATAAAGTCTGCCACCCATTCCACAGTAGTAACCCATCCATACCACATAACACATCCGAAACCCCCCCAGCCTCTCGGGTCCATTATCCAAATCACCCTCTATGCAAAGACGCAGAGCTAGCCGTCATAATCAAATCTGCCGGCCGTGCTAGCAACCCCTGCATGGCCATGGCGTCCTGCGTGACCGAGTCAACGCCCCACTCTTCTCTCACCCACGCGCGTATCGTCCCTGACGTGTCGTCATCGCAGCGCTTGGCGAGAGAGAGCACGGAGCGGCCGCTGTGGGGGATGATCATGCCGCCCTCCATGGGCTGGAAGTCCCCCACCCGCGTCACCATCACCCTCTCCCAGTAGATTGTGCTGTTGCTCGCTGTCTGTGTGGGGGGAGGAGGGGGGGGGATGGGGAGGGGGAAGGGAAGGGACGGGAAAAGGGAAATGGAGTGAAGGGAAGACAGAAGGAGAAGGGACAGGGGGAGGTGATGGAGAAGGTGTCAGGAGATCGGGAACGCTTGGTGAGAGAGAGGACGGGGCGGGTGCTGTGGGGATGATCATGCCTCCCTCCATGGGCTGAAAGCCCCCACCCGCGTCACCATCACCCTCTCCCAGTAGATCGTGCTGTTGCTCACTGTCTGTGTGGGGGGAGGAAGTGGAAGTGCGGAAGGGGGGATGGGGAGGGGGAAGGGACAGGAAAGGGGAAATGGAGTAAAGGGAAGGGGGAAGGAGGGTAAGGGGAAGGGGGAAGGGGGAAGGGAAGAAGAAGGGAAAGGAGAAGGGCAGTGCTTGGCGAGAGGGATCACGGGGCAGCCCCGACACTTCACTACCGCCCCTCCACCTGATACGCCAGCTCGTGGCACACGTCCTGCTGCCTTGGCCCCCCCTCACACCCCTCCAACCGCCACCCCCTTGCTTTTGGTAAGGTGATGGTCACGAAGCCCCACGAGCAGCCTCGAGGCGAGGCTTACTAAAGAACCCTTTCACCTGATACGCCAGCACAACACACACCTCGAGGCACAACATACACCTCCTGCTGCTTGCTGCCTTGCTCCCTCTGGCCCCTAACCCTACTCCCCATCGCCATACCCCAGGCCCACATAGGTCTTGGTGAGATGGTGACCGCGCAAGCCAATCAGCAGCCACAAGGCTTTACCAAAGAACCCCTTTACCTGATAAGCCAGCACTTGACACACGTCCTGCCCATACTCACCTCACCGGCACTCACACACCCACCTTGGTCTTGGTGAGATGATGATCCCGCAAGCCAACCAACAACCCCAACGCTTTACCAAACAACCCCTCCACCTGGCATGCCAGCATGTCACACACGCGCTGCTTGCCTTGCTTACCCCCTCACATCCCTCCCACCCATAGTCACGTACAAGCCACACGCACCTTGGTTTTGGTGAGATGGTGGTCGCGCAGGCCAATCGGCAGCCCCGACGCTTTACTGAAGAAGCCTTCCACCTGATACGCCAGCACGCCGCACACGCCCAGCTGCCTGCTGCCTTTTCCCTCAGACCCTCACCCCACACCCACCTACACTAAACACCCACCTTGGTTTTAGTAAGATGATGGTCGTGAGGGCCAATCAGCAGCCCCGAGGCTGTACTGAAGAACCCCTCCACCTGCTACGCCAGTGCGTCACACACACACACACACGTCCTGCTGGCTGCTGTGTTGCTCCTTGGACTCAAGCAACCACCACACGCACCTTGGTTTTGGTGAGATGGTGATCGCGCAGGCCAATCAGCAGCCCTGACGCTTTACTGAAGAACCCCTCCACCTGGTACGCCAGCACGTCGCACACGTCCTGCTGCTTGCCGCCCACATTGCCCCCGCCCGTGCTCATGGACATGAGGGCGAGCGGGTTGGCCATCACCTTCACGCACATGCACTCGTCGCCCTCTATGCCCTCGTCTCCCTGGTACTCCCCTGAGGCAAACACGTCCGCGACTGTAGGCGGGTCCAGGCCCTGATGCAGGGGAGTGGGTAGGAGATGGGAGGAGAGGGGAGGGGAGGAGAGGAGAAGGGAGGGGAGGAGTGAAGAGGAGATGAGGAGAGGAGGCGTGGAGCCTCAGGGTGGGTGGGTGGGTGGGTGGAGGGGCCACTGCTGCCCCCGCCTGTGCTCATGCTCATGAGCGCCAGCGGGTTGGCCATCACCTTCCCACACATGCACTCGTCGCCCTCTATGCCCTCGTCTCCCTGATAGTCCCCTGAGGCAAACACGTCCGCGACTGTAGGCGGGTCCAGGCCCTGTGGTGGAGGGAGAGGAGTGGAGAGGAGAGCAGAGGAATTAAGAGGAGTGGAATGGGATGCACTCCTCGCTCTCTATGCCCTCGTCTCCCTGATACTCGCCCGATGCAAACATGTCTGCGACCGTCGGCGGGTCGAGTCCCCGTGGTGGAGGGAGAGGAGTGGAGAGGAGTGGAAAGGGATTGACTCCCTCCTTCTATCTATGCCCTTATCGCCGTGATACTCGCCCGACGCGAGCACGTCTGCGACTGTGGGAGGGTCCAGGCCCTGCGAGGGTGGGGTGAGGATTGGAGAGAGGTGGAGATGGGTGGAGAGGGATGGCCTTCCTCCCTCTATGCCCTCGTCGTCCTGATACTCGCCCGACGCGAGCACGTCCGCGACTGTGGGCGGGTCCAGGCCCTGGGGGGTGGGGAGCGGAGTGGAGAGGAGTTGGGAGGTGTGGAGGGAGATTCATTCCTCTATGCCCTCATCGCCCGACGCAAGCACGTCCGCGACTGTGGGCGGGTCCAGGCCCTGATGCCGGGCGGGACATAGCCAGGGGGTGGGGAAGGAGGAAGAAGGTGGAAGGGGTGGGGATTGGGGGAAAGCAAACGGATGATGGAAGTTCTCAGCCCCTGAAGGGTGAGACACAGCAGTGGGGAATGGGGAGGAGGGGCGACGGGGAGGGGACGAGAAAGAAAGAGGAGGCGTCCAGGCCGTGAAAGAAAGAGGCCCTTTCTAGCAGCGCGGAGAAAAATGGGGGGACGAGAAGAGGAAAGGAGAGGAGGGAAGAGGAAAGGCATTATCAAGCATATGGTCTGGTCAGATGACCCAAGTGCTGCAGTGCAGGAGGAGCTACAGGGCCATAGCAGAATTACAATATCGCTCCTCTTGAGGCGCCTCAAAACTTTTGAGGCGCCTCAAAAGTGGTGCAGGAGGAGCTACAGGGCTATAGCAAAATTACAATATAGCGCCTCCTGTACCATTCCTGAAGCAACCTCACATGGCATGGGTGGAGCGTTATTGGTCGGAGCAAATGGAGAGAGCAGGCTGTGTAAAAGAAAGAGGAGGCGTCCAGGCCGTGAAAGAAAGAGGAGGCATCCAGGCCGTGAAAGAAAGAGGAGGCGTCCAGGCCGTGAAAGAAAGAGGAGGCGTCCATGCCGTGAAAGAAAGAGGAGGCGTCCAGGCCGTGAAAGAAAGAGGAGGCGTCCAGGCCGTGAAAGAAAGAGGAGGCGTCCATGCCGTGAAAGAAAGAGGAGGCGTCCAGGCCGTGAAAGAAAGAGGAGGCGTCCAGGCCGTGAAAGAAAGGAAGGTGGGGAGGGAGTGCGGGGTTGGAAGCGGGCGGTGGGAGGAGGGAGGGAGGGAGGGAGGGAGGGAGGGAGGGAGGGAGGGAGGGAGGGAGGGAGGGAGGGAGGGAGACGAGGATGGAGGATAGCAGCGCGCCATATCTGCTGCTTTTCATTTGAGGCGCTTCAAAAGAGCGCAGTGCATTACATCCGCTGCTAAAGACGCCCTTGCCGGCCTTGATCCCACCCAACGCCCCGTCACCGCATCCCACCCACCAGCACCACTCAAAACCGCACTCACCGCCCTCTCTGCCAGCAATCGCACTGCCAGCAACCCCTTTCTGCCAGCACTCACCCTCCCAGCCCAGCGATCCACCACTCGCACTGCCACCAGAACAGCTGGCTTGCACTGATTGGGCCACACTTTTTCATACGAAAAAAAGTACAACCAGCTTGCACTATTAGCGCCGGTGCCTAAGTGGCCCCCAATACCCCTTGACACGTGGCCCCCGAGAACCCTTGACACGTGGTGGTTGACGTGAACTAAGCAGCTGCTCTGCGCCCAACACCAGTGCTGGTTCCTGAGCGCCTTCCCCACCCCCCACCCTACAATCCCATTCAAGCCCACTCCAGACCACTCAAGGCCACTCAAGAGCCCACTCAACCACACTGAACCGCACTTAAGACCGCACCCACCGCTAGCAAGTGCGTGAGTGGTCGCACAGGCCTCCTGACCATGGTGGACGGCGCCCAGCAGCTCCGCCCACTCAGAGCCACACTCAGGCCCACTCTACCGCACTCAACCGCAATCAACCGCAATCAACTGCACTCAAGACCACAGGCACCCCCATTAAGTGCCTGAGAGGTCATACGGACCCCTTGGCCTAGGTAGATGGCGCTTAGATGCTCCACCACCACACCAGCTCACCGTCACACGGCCCTCCTTGCTCATCCCACACTTAACCCGCTCAACCGCACTCAACTGCACAGAACCGCACTCAAGACCATACCAACCGCTAGCAAGCGCCTGAGTGTTCGCACAGGCCCCTTGGCCGTCGTCAATGGCCCCCAACTGAACCACCGCCACACCAGCTCGCCGTCACACCGCTCTCCTTCCTCATCCCACGCTACACGCCCACTCACAGCCCACTCAACCTCAAGACCACACATACCGCTAGCAAATGCCCGAGTGGTCGCACAGGCCCCTCAGCCGTCGACGACGGGCCCTAATTACTCCGCCGCCACACCAGCTCGCCGGCACACGGCCTTGCTTCCTCATCCCACACTCAACCCCATTCAACCGCACAAAATCGCACTCAAAGCCTTGCTCACCGCTAGCAAATGCCTGAGTGGTCGCACAGGCCCTTTAGCCGTCGTGGAGGGGCCCCAACTGCTCCGCCGCCACACCAGCTCGCCGTCACACGTGGCGTCAATCCGCGTGTCGCCCATAGCCACCGCCACGTGCCACATGTTGGGCGGCATCTGCACCACGCGGAACGTTCCCTTCGCCACGTCAGCGCCGCCGCGGGCGCCCGCGGTCGGGGCGGCGTAGACCGTCTTGTCGCCCATGACCACCTCAGATGCCCAGATGGTGACGTGGCCGGAAATCACGGAGCCCTGCTGCGCCATGTGTGAGTTGTAGCCGCCGGATGCCGCAATGTACTTCTTGAGAACGTCCCTCGTGGTACGTTGATTCTGAGGGCACGGGAGGCAAAGGGAGAGACGGAGGAGCACGCGACGAGTGAGAGAGACGCGAAGGGGAGGGGGGAACTGCAGCCGCCCGATGCCGCTACATACTTGTTGAAGACGTCCCTCGTGGTGCATTGGTTTGGGGCGAAGGCGGAGGCGTGAGGCGAGCATGGGAAGGTTGAGAGAGAGCGGGACGAGATGGCTGGGTGAGACGCGAAGGGCGGGGCGAGTTGCAGCGGCCTGATGCTGCTATGTGCCTCTTTACCACGCCCCTTGTGGATCGCTGGCTCTGGGAGGGAGCACGGGAGGGAGCACGGGAGGGAGCACGGGAGGGGTGAGAGGGACGCGAAGGGAGGGGCGAGTTGCAGCGGCCTGATGCTGCTATGTGCCTCTCTAACACGCCCCTTTTGGACCGTTGGTCCTGGGAGGGAGCACGGGAGGGGTGAGGGAGAGAGGCGCGCAGGAAGGGCCGAGAAGTAGCCGCGGAACGCCTGTTGCTTCTGGATCAAGGGAGGGGTGAGAGAGACGGGGAGGGGACGACTTTTGAGACGTCTGAAAAGTCGCAGGCAGGGTCGAAAAGAAAGGGAGGGGTGCGAGAGACGGGGAGGGATGGGCGTGAGAGGGAGACGCGAACGGAGGGGCGAAGGAGGCACTACGGGAGGGCGGAGGTGTGGCCGCGGAGCACCTGTTGCTTTCGGAGCATCTGTTGCTTTCGGAGCATCTGTTGCTTTCGGAGCATGGGAGGGGTGTGAGAGAGACGGGGCGGGGACGGGTGAGGGAGGGAGACGCGAATGGAGTGGCGAATTGCAGCCGCGGAACGGCCGTTGGTTCTGGACCAAGGGAGGGGTGCGAGAGACGCGATGGGATGGGCGAGGGAGACGCGCGAATGGACGGGCGAAGGAGGCACGAAGGGAGGGTCGAGTTATAGGCGCCGAACGGCGGTTGATTCTAGATCAAGGGAGGTGAGCGAGAGACGCGAAAGGGTGCGAGAGACCCGAAGGGAGGGGTGGAGGGGGTGGGGGAACGAAGGGAGGGGTGAGAGAGACCCGAACGGATGGGGGACGGAGACGCGAAGGGAGGAGCGCGTCCGGGAAAGGGAGACATGAAGCTCAAGGGGAGAGAATTGGGTGGATCGCAGAGGAGAAGGGTGGGGGAGGCGACGGGAGGTCAAGAGGTGCAGAGAAACGGTGTTGCTGGGAGCAATGTGAGGGTATGGCGGGAGAGAGAGTCCATGTCCGTTTTGAGGCGCCTCGACATTGAAGCAATGCGAACGTGAAGACGACAGAAAGGGACCAAGAGGACCGCATTTTCGATAAAAAAGTTTCAATTCGCACGTAAGGACGGCATAACGGAAGATGGAAACACCACCACACAATTTGTTGGCGTCTTCAAAAAAAAAAAAAACGTGTACTGAACATAGAAACACTACTCAGGATGCTCCAAAAATGCGAACCCAGTGAACGATCGCGCGTTAGAAGAATAGGAGCCATAGACATTTCAGTCGGTTAGAAAGCAACCTTTCTAGCTGACGCGATCTTCGCATTGCGCTATGCCTAACTATCTAGCCTTTTTTGCGAGCAATGCAGTCATTTCTGATTACAATGTAAACGGCTGAGCGGCGAGAAAACACGTCGAAACGACGCGCCGACCCACAAGAAGCGAAAATGGTAATTAAAAACGTTATCGCTATCAAACCACCTCCTTACTAAAACTAAGACCATTCTCATTGACAATGGCCACTTGCGATGTGCGACCATGCAGCGATCCTGTCAGCTTCGGTAACTCTCGCCATTGCCGTCGCAACCCTCCATGATCGGTGTACCTGCGTTAGTTCGGGAGTCGTCGGTCGAGGCAGACTTATTTGCTTCGGAACCGAAGCTAACGGCGTCGCGGCGGCCTGCAAGACAAACTTAATCTCCGCGTCTCGCGCTTTCGCCTCCTCCTCTTTAGACTTCCCCGACTTCGCTCCAAACAGCTTCTTAAGACTAAACGAGTGTTTCGCCGCATCCTCGTGCTTCGCGGACGAGTCCGGCGGGTAACCCTCTAGTAACGGCCCTAAAACGGTTGTGCATGTTGTGAAAACCTTAGACTCTTTCGGTGTGGAGCTGTCTGATTGCCAGCCTGACTCGCTGGGGCGATTAATGAGATGAGCGAAGCCGAGCAGTCCATCGGACATTCTCGCCGCATCTGACGGCGTCGCTCGCCGTGCACGCCGTCGCTAACTACGCCTGCTATGTGCGGTTTGCTACTGGACCAGCGCCTCCTAGGGTTACTACTAGGGAAGAGGTGTCGTGGAACCCTAATTAGGTATGGAGAAAATCGTGCACGAAACGAAATGGAGGGTGGGTGAGAGATGAGTGAGCAGTGGTAGTGTAAGAGATGTTTTCGCCAGCCCTTTCAAATGGATATGAGTGTGTTTCGCCAAGGCTAGCTGCGAAACTAAAGTCGCAGCTTGCAGAACTTGTCAACTTAAGCCATGAGCGCTTGAAGGGTGCAATTGCTTCGCTGACGTCGTCAGTGTACCGCATTCGTCGTTCGCCTTCTTTTCGTCAAGCGCGGTTCACCTTCTTTTCGCCGGGCTTTGGCCTGCGTTGAACGTGAGCCACCCAGGTCGAATGGAGCGGAACCACCTGCCGCCAGGGTGTGTCCTATGGCGTCACATTTCTCCAGTCACGTTCTCAGCTACGACTCGGTGGAACGATCTGAGATTGCACAATCCAGGTTGATGGATCAATAGTGTACACAAAAAAAACTTTACAGGAAAACAGCTACCCATATGATGAGTTGGGTGAAGCACATGGATAATTCAATGAGAAATGTGGGACTTGCCCTGGAGGGTTCTGCAAATGCAAAGTCTCTGAACAAACATCATGTACAATATTTACAAATTGCACAAACACATGCAGATTCAATGCCTCCATATCAACGCTACGCTACCCCACTAGATCACCCGCAAAGCAACACCATCACAGCCTTCATCAGCATGAGCAGCGCATGCGCCATGGTCACAAACACTTCCATCAGCGTTATAAGCCCTAAGAGCTAGTGAATGCCTTTTGCCGCGCGCCTTCTAGGGCGGAGCAACTCAAGGTAGAGAAGAGGATGCAGGAACTGTCATACAGCTGGCTCTTCACTTACAGTACTCCAGAACTTGGCCTTGAGGTCGTCTGCTAGCACAGCCTGCTTTGCCTCTAGCGCTGGAAGCAGCGCAATGAGCACTACTGCATCAGCATTACAAGCCCTACGAGCCACCCTCGTACAGCTCGCTCCTCACGGTGCTCCAGAACCTGGCCTTGAGGTCGTCCGCCAGCGCAGCCTGCTTTGCCTCCAGCGCCCGCAGCTCTGCCTGCTGCGCTTCCAGCTGCCTCTCTGCCTGGGCCAGTGCCTCCTTCTCCTTGTCGTCCCCTAGTAGTGCCTGAACAAGAGAGTAGCAAGAGGCGCAGGGGTGAATGGGTAAGAGGAACGAAGAGGAGCTACAAGCAGTGTTAGCTCTGCTTGCTGCGCTTCCAGCTGCCTCTCTGCCTGGGCCAGTGCCTCCCCCTCCTTGTCACCCCCCAGTAGTGCCTGGAGAAGAAGCGGCAGGAGCGAGTGAACAAGATAGTTATGTTTTAGACGCCTCTAGCGCCCGCAGCTCTGCCTGCTGCGCTTCCAGCTGCCGCTCCGCATCCGCCAGTGCCTCCTTCTCCTTGTCATCTCCCAGTACTGCCTGGCGAAGAGAGCAAGAGCGAGTGGGCAAGGGGGCAAGAGCGAGTGGGCAAGATCAGGATGGTCGGAAGCAGTGCTAACGAGAGATTGAACGAGGGACAGAGGGGACGGAAGGAAAGAGGAGGGAAAGACGAGTGGAGGAGAATACAAATGAGTGGAGGAGAACACACATGAGTGGAGGAGAACACACATGAGTGGAGGAGAACACACATGAGTGGAGGAGAACACACATGAGTGGAGGAGAACACACATGAGTGGAGGAGAACACACATGAGTGGAGGAGAACACACATGAGTGGAGGAGAACACACATGAGTGGAGGAGAACACACATGAGTATCTAACCAATGATGGATGGATGGATGGATGGATGGATGGATGGATGGATGGATGGATGGATGGATGGATGGATGGATGGATGGATGGATGGATGGATGGATGGATGGATGGATGGATGGATGGATGGATGGATGGATGGATGGATGGATGGATGGATGGATGGATGGATGGATGGATGGATGGATGGATGGATGGATGGATGGATGGATGGATGGATGGATGGATGGATGGATGGATGGATGGATGGTCGGAGGTTCATGCACAAACACACATACACACACCCATCCCATCCACCTATTCACCCCCCCTCTACACTCCCCCCTTCTTTCCCACCACACACACACGCCCCGACATCTTCCCCCCCACTATACACACCCAATCCCAACATTTCTCCCCCCCCCCTCCCCTCCGCACCAACACACAACCCCAACATACCTCATAGCTCGCTCTGATTCTCGCCTCCTGCACTGCCTTGTCCCTCTCTGCCCTCTCTGCCACCCCTCGCGCTTCCTTCTCCGCCCTCTCAAGGCTCTCCGCCCTCGCCACCTGCACGGTTTAGACAGGGAGGAGTGAGAGAGGGCAGAGGGCACACGGAGAAAGGACACCTCTAGGGTCATCTCCGCGCCTCAATAGCCGCCCTCTGAAGGCTGCCCTCCCTCGCCACCTGCACGATAGAAAGAACACAGTGCAGGGGATTGAGGCACAAGGAGAAAAGACACACAGAGGTTTAAATGGGAAGCTTGAAGGCACCTCTAGGATCATCTCCGCGCCGCCCTGGCCGCCCTCTGAAGGCTCGCCACTGCCCTCGCTTCCAGTGGAAAGGCACGACAAACACACAAGCACAACAAGTGCTTTCAGTCCAACTCACGTGAAAGAAGGAGTGTTTTGAGACGTCTCAACACACAAGCACAACAAGTGCTTTCAGTCCAACTCACGTGAAAGAAGGAGTGTTTTGAGACGTCTCAACACACAAGCACAACAAGTGCTTTCAGTCCAACTCACGTGAAAGAAGGAGTGTTTTGAGACGTCTCAACACACAAGCACAACAAGTGCTTTCAGTCCAACTCACGTGAAAGAAGGAGTGTTTTGAGACGTCTCAACACACAAGCACAACAAGTGCTTTCAGTCCAACTCACGTGAAAGAAGGAGTGTTTTGAGACGTCTCAACACACAAGCACAACAAGTGCTTTCAGTCCAACTCACGTGAAAGAAGGAGTGTTTTGAGACGTCTCAACACACAAGCACAACAAGTGCTTTCAGTCCAACTCACGTGAAAGAAGGAGTGTTTTGAGACGTCTCAACACACAAGCACAACAAGTGCTTTCAGTCCAACTCACGTGAAAGAAGGAGTGTTTTGAGACGTCTCAACACACAAGCACAACAAGTGCTTTCAGTCCAACTCACGTGAAAGAAGGAGTGTTTTGAGACGTCTCAACACACAAGCACAACAAGTGCTTTCAGTCCAACTCACACCACTCCAGCTCCTGAATTGCACCTGCATATACATACCACCTGCATGCACGTACCAGCTCCTGAACCGCATCATCCATCTCTCTCAACCGCTCATCCCGCTCCTCCTCCAATTGCCTCGCCTCCCTCCTCCGCCTCTCCACCTTCCCCCGCATGTCCCTCACAGCGCGCGCACTCTCCTGCACCTTCCTCCGCTGCGCCTCCTCCCTTGCCTGCAGTGCATGCCGCACCACCACCTCCATCATCCTCTCATCCATCGCTGTCACCATCCCGCCCAGCCCCATGCCGGGGCCCACACCAGGCCCCATTGAAGGGCCGCCAAGAGAAGCCCTCCCCACACCAGGCACTTGAGCGCTCAATCCATCTCCCGCTCCTTCTCCCCCTCCCCCTCCCCCTCCCCCTCCCCCTCCCCCTCCCCCTCCCCCACCCCCAGCAGCCACTGCAACCTCTCCACCTGCCTGGGTCATTGCAGCAGCAGGCCGCTTCACACCCCGCGGCCCAGCAGCAGCATCAACCGCCCCTGTGTCCCATGCACTCTGTTTCCCCACTTCGGGAACCGCTAGAACCTTATCAACCTGACGTGAGTCGCTGCGCTGCTGCTCGTCCAGGCGCCAAGCAGCAGGCACAGCAGGAGCAGCTGTTGGTGTCACTGGCGCTCCAGCAGGGGAAATAGGTGCCCTTAAAACCCCAGCAGGTGTTGCTGCTGGTGCTGCAGCTGGTTGCTTTGGCGCTGCTGCTGCTGCTGGTGCGACTGGAGGTGCAACTGGAGGTTGCTTTGGTGCGGCTCCTGTTGCTGGAGACGCAGCAGCAGGAGTGGATTCAGCTGGCCTTGTGCCGCCGTTCCCTGCTGCCGCTGCCACTCGCTGCTTCTTTTCCTTCTGTGGCTGCTGCTGTCCAGGGGCTTGCGCATCGGAACCACCAGCCATCTCGATACCCTGTATCCCTTCAGCTGCAGCTTCAAACGCTTCTTCCTCTGCCTCTGCCTCACCTGCACTCGCTGCACCCTTTCCCCTCTCTACACCCACCTGCTGCACCTGCAGTTGCACCGTGGTCTCTGTGACGGTCACCACCTGCTGCTCTTCAGACACAGGCACTGTCTCTGTGTGCGTCCGCGTCGCCACCACACTCACTGCCCTCCCTCCCTCTCCTGCTGTTGCCCCTCCCTCCTCACCCTCTATGCCTCTCCACCCTGCAACCTCCAGCTCGCCTGACCTTCCCTTTCCGCCGCTTCCCTCTCTGTCGCTTCCCTCTCTGTCCCTTCCCTCTCTGTCGCTTGCCTCTCTGTCGCTTCCCTCTCTGTCTCTTCCCTCTCTGTCGCTTCCCTCTCTGTCTCTTCCCTCTCTGTCTCTTCCCTCTCTGTCTCTTCCCTCTCTGTCTCTTCCCTCTCTGTCTCTTCCCTCTCTGCCTCTTCCCTCCCTGCCTCTTCCCGTCACCCCTTCTAGCCAGCCCCTCTTCACGCGCCTTGTTACTTCCCCTGTTGCTGCTGTCCCGGCTACAGCTGCTACACTTGGAGCAGATCGTGCCTCAACTTGCCGCGCCTGTACTTGACGAGCCTGTACTTGCCGAGCCCCAGCTTGCCAAGCCTCGACTTGCCGAGCCTTAACTTGCCGAGCCTCCGCCTCTTCTGCAGCTATAGCCTCCCTCAGCAGCCCGTGAATCTCCTCTTGCACCTTTTCCCCTCCCCCCTCTTCACTCCCTCCCTCCAATCCCACCACCTCCTCTACCTCCTCTCCTCCCCGCACCTCCTCCTCCCCGTCCCCTTCCTCCTCCTCCTCTAGCGTCTCACTCTCCGCCTGCCTCTCCGCCACTAGCGCGCTCTGCTCCGCCGGAGGGAAGTCTTCCAGCCTCAATCCGCGCAGTAGCCTCCGCTCCGCCCTGCCTCTGCCCTCCGCTGCGCCCTTGCGCTCCTCTGAGCGCCCTACACGTCCTTCCGCCTTCGCTTTACCCGCTCGCCCTCGTCGCCCGGTTCCCCCCCCCCCGCGCGCCCCTCTTGCCAGCCCGGTCCCCCTCACACCACCCCCTCCGTCGGCCGCTCGCTCCTCTTCTCCGCAACTTCCGCGCGCCTGCGCCGCCGCACGACCTTTCCTTCCGCCACGCGCCCTCCGCGCGTGACTCGATCTGTCTGCGCTTCGCTCTTCCCCCTCCCCGCTCTTCGCAACCCCTGGCTTCGCGAATCCTCCACCACTCTCCACCGAACCTTCACCTCTCTCAACCGACGCGGCAGCGGAATCCTTTCCCTTCCTCGTCTGGCGCTCACGATACTTCTCGTTAGAAGCGCTTCTTCTCGGGTTGCGCCTGCCTCCTGCGGCGATCGTTCCCTGCGGCGAGCTAGCAGAATCACGAACCATCTCTGCACGCAGCGAGGCAAGGAAGAGCTTTCAACCAGGCTGTGTTGACGAAACCCTCACGGATCTTCCCAGCTCTTTCCCCTGCGGCACCCTTGCCGCGCCTCTGCGGTACCAACGAGGTTACGAGGCTGCTTGCAGCGACGCGACGCCATGCCACGGCGTGGAGTCGCCGCGCTGCCACCCTCACATCTCCGCCAGATGCGTTGCGCGTGCCGCGGTGCTAAACTCGTGTCCATGTGAGAATGCGGGGAGGTCACGAGGAATGGGTGGCAAGAACACCCGAGGGTGCAGCTTTGGTCAGGGAGTTATATGGACACGTGGCAGTCAAAGCTTGCATGCACTGAGGGGTTCGTACGCGGTTTTGTCATGTGCAGCTCAATCCTCTGCAATCGTGTTTCGGTACACCTGAATTCTTTAGATTGCTTAGGTTTTAAAACGATAACGGGTTATTTGAGACTACATGCCTTCCACATCCAATCTCACGAAGTCATGTCATGACAGAAAAAACTTTAAATCCATTAGAGAAACCCCATCAAACTACCAAAAAGCACAAGTAACCATTCCTAGAGAGAACAAACTGGCAGCACTGCGCCAGCATAGTCCAGCAGAAAAGACATCACACCTGCGATCCTCTTGGCCAGTCAAAACTTCCACAAGGAATCACACCCGCACAGGCCAACATCTCTGCCACACCCCTTACGGTATTCCCCATGCATCACCAACTCCTCCTAACTGCATCGGTGTGAGCCAAAACCCATCAATCTGTGACCATCCCATCCCATCCTTCTACCACATTCTAACCAAATGTCCCACCCCAGGCACACACCTATCTGCAAAATTGTGCAACCATGGCCAGACAGCCAACCCAACCAACCAACCCCCAGCCATCCCAGCAACCAACGCCAGCCATTCCATCCCAGCCTAGCCACCCATGGCCCACTGCACCACAAGGAACCCATTTAGCCCTATAATGGCCAGCGTCAGGGAGAACCGCCAGAATCGTGCTCACCCACCCATTCACAAACGTTCCCATTCCACCCCAGCCACCAATGGCCCACTGCCAACCCCAGCCATCCCTTCCCTCCCACCCTAACCACCCATGGCCCACTGCACCACAAGGAAGCCATTAAGCCCTATAATGGCCAGCGTTAGGAGACTCGCCAGAATCATGCTCACCCACCCATTCACAAACTTCCCCATGCGAGCCGGGGACGACGTGAAATGCACCAGCGGCGCAATCGCAAACGGCAGCTGCAGTGACAGAATCACCTGACTCAGCACCAGAAGCTTCCCAGCGCCTTCCATGCCACTGATAGCAGCCACAATGACAGCAGGTACAATCGCAATGCAGCGAGTCACCATGCGACGAAGCCATGGCGGAAGCTTCACGTCCACAAACCCCTCCATCACAATTTGACCCGCGAGTGTTCCCGTGATGGTGGAGTTCTGGCCGCTGGCCAGCAGGGCGACGCCGAAGAGGATTCTTGCCGCAGTGTCGCCAATGGCGGGCGCGAGGAGATGGTACGCGTCGCTGATATCCGCGACGGTCTGCTGGCCCGACGGGTTGTAGTAGAAAGCCGCGGCCGCGAGGATCAGGATGGCCGCGTTGACGAAAAAGGCGACGAAGAGCGACAGGCACGAGTCCCACGTGCCGTAACGGACGGCCATGCGCTTGCCTTCTGCCGTGCGACTGTAATTGCGCGTTTGGATAATGCTGGAATGGAGGTAGAGGTTGTGCGGCATGACCGTTGCTCCCAGAATACCCACCGCCGCGTATAGCACGTCAGGGTTGGTGAAAATCTGGCCTGACGGAATGAATCCTTTCAGGACCAGGACCCAATCGGGACGCACCGCAATCAACTCGTACGTCATGCACGCGGCGATTAGAGCGCAGAGAATGAAGATCAGCAGCTCCAGCACGCGCGCGCTGCGGGCGCCGAGGAAGACTATAAGGAGGCAATCGGCTCCCGTTATAAGGATGCCAATCCACAAAGGTAAGCCGAAGAGAAGGTACATGGCGGTCGCGGATCCAATAACTTCGGCGAGATCGGTAGCGGCGATGGCGATTTCGGCGAGAATCCAGAGAGTAAGATTAGCGTAGCGCGGATACGCGTCGCGGCAGGCCTGCGCGAGGTCCCTTTCGCCGACGACGCCGAGCTTTAAAGACAGGCTCTGGAGAAACATGGCGCAGATGGACGACATGAGCACGACGAATAGCAGCGTGTATCCGAACGCCGACCCTCCCGCAATGTCCGTAGCCCAGTTTCCCGGGTCCATGTATCCCACGCTGACGACGAATCCAAGGCCGGTGAACGCGAAGAGCTTGTAGTACCAGGCCGATTCGGGAGGTGGTACGTAAACGGACGAGTGTAGGTCGTCGAGCGACTTGTTGTGCGGCACGCGACGCCAGCCGGCCAGAAGACGTTGTTTCTCCTCCACTTCCGCCTGAGTACCTTCCGCTGCAGCCTCGGAGACCGACGAACGTCTGCTACCGCCATCCTCGGGTAAATCGGGTAAACCCCTCTCTGGAGAAATGTCTCCCGCGTCGGAGGATATTTCCATCAGCGATCCGCGACTGGCTTGTCCCAGGGACTCAGAGCTGTGAACCACGTTACGAGCGGGTGACGAAGCAGCGACTTCGCGACCGCCGTGCGAATCGGCGGCGGCTGTTTCGGGATCCGGTCCATCGCTGCTCCGTCCGTGGTGTCTCCCGAATGCTCTTTGGACGGAGACTAACGCGGAAGTAGACGGGTTCGTAAACCAACCCATTTCGGCCGAGTACCAAGGAAAAAAAAACTAAGACGGATAATCGACGAAGAGATTGCAAGGAATGAGAACTAAGATGGATAATCGACGAAGCAATTGCGCATAAGAGCTCCTTAGATTGCCGAATGCGCAGGAATGAATGAGAGACTTGGAAGGATGGCGAGGTGTTCTGTTCTTGCTTGTGGTTGAGCGAGCTCCAGGTCAGCCTGCGTCTGACCAGGCAGGCGAAAAAGCTACCCAAACCAAGTTGCTGTTTCGACCTTTGTCAGAACTCCGCCGAGGCAAAAGCTTTGGAACCGAGCTGTATTTTTATGAACCGCTGTGAAGCACGCTGGTGTTCATGCTCTTTTCTGCTTGTTCACGCTTCCCTATCTGCTCCGTTTCTTGAGAGTTGGTGGTGTGACGCTGCTGCTGCTGCTGCTTCGTCAGTCTCGAGAAATCCAGAAAGGTGGGGAAAGAGGGACGCTGACCGTTGGATCTTTCGTCAAATCTGTCTATCGGATCGATCTTATCCTGGAGATTTGAATTGGTAACTTTGGAAAGAGGTCGGCGGCGCCTTCCCCTGTGATGCGACGCTTCGCTACATCGCTCTTTTCGGGGAAGGACAAATCGCATAGTGTCGCTCACAAGCAAAGTTGGGTTGTGTGTCCAGGTGACCCGCCTTGCGGAACCCAAGCCATTTGCCGAACCTCGCCATTGATCAAAGCCGTCCAGGTCAAGTCCGGGCCGGCATATCTACTCAGCCCGAACCTAGAGTGTGAGACCTCTACTGAACAGCCAGATAGGTCAGGCAGCAATCTCGAGTAACCGGTTCGTTCTCTGTGATTGGTGCAGTCTCAAAGGGCGTATTCTTAGCTTCGGGTCATCCCGCCTTCATGTCATCCGAAATTGTGGGATCCAATCGAAAAAACCAAATTTCGAACCGCGGGCTTTCCGATTGGCTCCCACGAACACAAACGACGGATGACCCGAAGCTAGAAATACGCCCTAAAGCGTAACCTTTCAGATACTACCTCCAACTCTGGTAGCCGCCGCGCCGCTAAACACGGAAAGTTACAACCAAACTGCATTTTCCATTATCTCAAAGTGAAAAAGGGATATGACACCAACGAGGGGTATACACATTCCATGTATGCCTTTTGTTACGGGTGCAATGGAATGAGGTAGCGATGATTGCACTATGTGGGTCAAAAGTACAAAGTATGAGCGAAGGCATGAGCGAATACGTATGTGCGAAAACATATAATAGTTACGCGATGCGTGCGAGCTAGCTAGTGCTAGGCTGGCATCGAGGTTTGGGCTAGTCCCGGAGCGTATGCCAACTCAGCCAGGCCAGCGGTGCATGGTTGACTCGTGGTTGGAATGTAAGGGCGAACCAGGCTGACGTGGAATGATGGGCCGATGTACCAGCCTGTCGGTACGACGGGCAGTCTTAAGTTTTGTGTATCGAGCAGTCTGACTGGTACGTGACTGGGCGGTGATGGCACTCAGCAATTCATTTTGCGATAACGTTGGCTTTTTTAGTTGCTTCTGCTGCTCGCGTTCGGGCAACTTGCAGGATCTCGGTGAACTGTTGTGTGCGTGGCGTGGTGTTCTTTGGACTCGGCGCCATGGGCACTGTTGGGTTTTGCCCGTAGTTCAGGTAGAACTGGGACAGCTCCGTTGTCGCTGACGTGGCGTTATCATAGGCGAACTCGATCAGCGGCAGCTGCTGCTCCCAAGTTGTCGAATCGTCGCACGTAGCACAAACCAATTGTTCCATGATCTGGTTTGTCCGGTCCGTTTGACCGTCTATCTCGGGGTGGTACGATGAGCTGAACTATAGCATGGTCTGGTTCTTCCAGAATTTGCTGGTAAATTTCGTGTCGCGGTCGCTGATTATCGATGCTAGTATCCCGTGCAGTCAAACGGCGGTTGCGATGAACAAGCGAGCGGTTTCTTCGGCTGAGATCGACTTTTTGCACGCACCGAAGTGGGCCATTTTCGTCGGCCTGTCAACGACGACCATAACCGTGTCGTCACCCCTAGGGTTCGGAGGTAACACCGTAACAAAATTCATGGTAACCTGCTGCCAGGCGCGCCCGCGGGCGGTGGAGTCGGTTGCAACTGACCCGCCTTCATCACCTTACACGTAGGACACGACCCCACGTGGTGTTGTACGTCAGTTACCAACTTCGGCCAGTAGCAATACTAATGCAGCTGCTGCCGCGTTTTTTTAACCCCGAAATGACCTAAGATAACCTTGTCAGAATGTTATTATCTAGCCTATAGTGGGGTGCTCTATAGCGAGTACAACCCAATTAGGGTTTGCTATATGTATCCCAACTGCTGCTAGTGAAACCCTCCTTTGTTCTCTTCTCTTTTGCCTAGCTAGCTAAACCTGTCAGAACATTATAGCTTACACATCTGTGTAGGCTGTAGTGGGGTAGCCCATAAGGGGTACAACCCAAAAAGGGTTAGTACTTGTACCGAACTGTTTCATAGTTCAATCATTCTCGTTCTAATTCTCACATGGTATAGAGCAGGTTCCCCCGTGGAAACTGTTCCTAGGGCCCACCGACCTTTTTTTTTTCCTGCCCGGAGCGCGCTTGGCCCCTGCCCGAGTCGCGCCCCGTGTGACTCCCCTTCGTGGCCTCTAGCGGCCTCCCTCACGGCCCCTAGTAGCCCCGTCGCGCCGTCCTTTCAACGGCCCCTTCGCCGCCCTTTCCGCGGCCCCGTCGCCGCCCTTTCAGCGGCCCCGTCGCCGCCCTTCCACGGCCTCGCCGCCCGCCCTTGCAGCGGCCCCGTCGCCGCCCTTCCGCGGCCCCGACGCCGCCCTTCCGCGGCCCCATCGCCGCCCCTCCGCGGCCCCGACGCCACCCTTCCATGGCCTCGTCGCCGCCCTCCAGCGGCCCCGTCGCCGCTCGTCCGCGGCCCCGTCGCCGCACTTTCAGCGGCCCCGTCGCCGCCCTTTCAGCGGCCCCGTCGCCGCCCGCCCTTTCAGCGGCCCCGTCGTCGCCCTTCCGCGGCCCCATCGCTGCCCTTCAGCGGCCCCGTCGCCACCCTTCCGCGGCCCCGTCGCCGCCCTTTCAACGGCCAGACGCCGCCCTTTCAGCGGCCCGTCGCCGCCCTTTCACCGGCCCCGTCGCCGCCCTTCCGCGGCCCCGTCGCCACTTAGCCGCCCAGCGCTAGAGCCGCCGAGCCGCCGAGCCGCCGAGCAGCCGAGCCGCCGAGCAGCCGAGCCGCCGAGCAGCCGAGCCGCCGAGCAACCGAGCCGTCGAGCAGCCGAACCGCCCTGCAGCCGAGCCGCCCGACCGCCGAGCCGCCCTGCAGCCGAGCCGCCCAGCCGCTGAGCCGCACCGCAGCCGAGGCGCTGCCGCCTGTCGGCCTGCCCGGGACCGCCCCACTTGCCTGGTAAGAACAGCGCCTCTACCACTGCACTACCCTTCCCACTGTACTCGCTGCCTGTCTACAGTTGTCATGGCCTCCCCTAGTGTTCTCACATTTGACGCTGAGGGTCGGGTAGTTGACTTTGAGGTCTTGGTAGATGATCTGCAGCTTTTCCTACAGTGCGATAGGGCAGACGGTCTCTACCTGTTTGACCTCACTTCTGGTGCCTCTCCTGCCCCTGCTGCTGATGCTGACGCCACTGTTCGCTCGCTGTGGGCCACGCGTGATGCTGCTGCTCGTCTTGCTGTGCGCCGCCACTTACCGACCACTGAGCATGCACACTTTAGCCAGTACAAGAGTGCTCAGACCTTGTACGACGCTGTAGTTGCACGCTACTCTTCCCCTGCCACTGTTGCACTGAGCCGCCTCATGCTACCGTACCTCTTGCCTGACCTTGCTGCCTTTCCCACAGTCGCTGACCTCATTACGCACCTCCGCACTAGTGACACTCGCTACCGCGCTGCGCTTCCTGCTGAGTTCTGCGCCAAGAACCCCCCCCCCCCCATGTACATCACCCTCTACTACATAGTCACCCGGCTCCTTGACTCTCTCCGCGTAGTCAGGGACCACTTCCTCTCAGTTTGCCCCACCACTCTCACCGTTGACCTCCTCGAGAAGGCCCTCCTAGCAGCAGAGAAGAGTATAGTCGCTATAGGAGCCTCTCGTGGTGACCCTCGCACCCCCGTCTTTGAGGGGTGTTCTCCCTCCCCCCTCTTGCCCTTTGTTGCCTCTGCTGCTGCAGCCGACCTCGTTGGTTTCGAGTCGGTCGGCGCTGCGTCTGCCCCGAGCGCGAGACGCCGCACCGGCAAGGGCAAGGGGGGCAAGGGCGCTGGAGGGGCTGGCGGGGGCAGTGGAGGTGGTGGTGGAGGCAGTGGAGGGAGTGGGAGTGGTGGTGGGAGTGGTGCCGGGGGTGGCGGCGGCGGCGGCAGCAGTGGAGGCGGCGGAGGCGGCGGTGGTGGCGGAGGGAGCAGAGGCGGCGGAGGTGGCGGAGGAGGCGGAGGTGGAGGAGGCGGCGGAGGCGGCGGCGGCGGCGGCGGCGGTGGTGGAGCGGGTCGCGACTCTGCGCAGAGGAGTGGCTCAGGTGGTGGTCCGCGCCAGCGGCAGCGGAGTGGTGTGACCCTGACCCCTCAGCAGCTTCGTGAGTGATACACTGCGCGCCAGCGCGGTGAAGATTTTGGTCCCTGCACATACGTCCTCCGTACCGGTGACCGAGCTGGTGAGTAGTGCGGGGGCCCGCACTCCACCCAGCGCTGCTTCGGTCGCCTGACGGACGCGTAGCGTCGCCAGTTCCCTGAGGCGTCAGAGATCCCTCGCTGGGGAGATCTGTCTAGGGCGGGGGTTGTCATCTTAGATCTTGACTATGATGCTATCATTGCTGCCATGTATTCTATGACTACTAGTGTTGAGGGTGACTGTTACCTGTGTGTACCGCCTGACCCGGGCATTGAGGCCACTGCTCTAGGTGCTGGTGAGGCTGCTGCTCTAGGTGCTAGTGCGTCTGCTGCCCCAGGTGCCAGTGCGTCTGCTGTCCCAGGTGCCAGTGCGTCTACTACCCCAGGTGCTGGTGAGTCTGCTCTCTCAGGTACTACGTCGGCTCAGGCCTTCCACACCTTCACCCTTGACTCGGGTGCGTCCCGCTCCTTCTTTCGAGACTGCACCACTCTTACGCCTCACAGTCGGTCGGTTGCAGTCTCCCTGGCGGACCCCTCTGGGGGTCCTGTCCTTACTAGCTTCTCCACTGTCTTACCGTGCCCGGCAGCCCCCTCTGGCACCCTGTCAGGTCTCTACCTCCCCTCGTTCTCTACGAACTTGGTGAGTGGAGCAGACCTACAGGATAGGGGGGTTGACCAGTTCACTCCTGCGAGTCAGCGAGTGACCCACTGCACGTGTGCTCGGTCAGGCCGACACTTGGCCACGTTCACTCGTCGGCCAGGGTCGAGCCTGTACACCCTTACTATTGAGTCTCCTCCAGCTGCTGAGTCTGGCCAGGTAGCTGCGTCAAGTCAGGTGTTTGCTGCTGCGTCCAGGTCTGGTCCTGAGTCTGCTCCCTGCTCGTATCGTCTCCTGTCCCACCAGACTCTCCTCTGGCACCACCGCCTTGGTCACCCCTCCCTGCCTCGTCTCCGAGGCATGGCCTCCCGTGTCCTTGTCTCTGGTCTCCCTCGGTCTCTCCCTCCCCTACCTTCGGGGCCTGGCCCTACCTGCGTCCCCTGCGTCGAGGGGCGACAGCGCGCCGCCCCTCACTCCTCCGAGTTTCCTCCGACAGAGGCTCCGCTACAGACCCTCCACATGGACGTGTGGGGCCCAGCCCGCGTCCGTGGACAGGGGCACGAGCGTTACTTCCTGTTGGTGGTTGACGACTACCCGCGTTACACCACAGTCTTCCCCTTGCGCACCAAGGGTGACGTCACTGAGGTGTTGATCGACTGGATCCGCGCAGCTCGTCTCCAGCTCATAGAGAGTTTCGTCTCGGACTTTCCTGTTCTGTGTCTGCACTCGGACAGAGGCGGGGTGTTTTCCTCTGCCCGTCTAGGAGCCTTCTGTCGTGCACAGGGCATCCGCCAAAGCTTCACGCTTCCGGCCTCTCCACAGAAAAATGGGATTGCTGAGCGCCGCATTGGCATGGTCATGGACGTCGCTCGTACGTCCATGATGCATGCAGCTGCCCCCCATTTTCTGTGGCCGTTTGCAGTTCAGTACGCCGCGCATCAGCTCAACCTTCAGCCCCGGGTCTCCTTGCCAGAGACCTCCCCCTCCTTGCGGTGGACCGGGAAGGTTGGCGATGCGTCTGCGTTTCGGGTCTGGGGATCTCGGGCGTTTGTCCGCGACTTGTCTGCGGACAAGCTGCCCCCCCGTGCTGTTCCCTGCGTCTTCCTTGGCTTCCCCCCTGACGCGCCTGGGTGGCAGTTTTACCACCCCACCTCGCGCCGTGTTTTGTCCTCCCAGGAAGTCACCTTTGACGAGTCGGTGCCTTACTACCGTCTCTTCCCCTACCGCACTGCGCCCCTCCCCCCGCCGCCGCTTTTCCTTGCGCCAGGTCCTCCCCCGGTAGACCCCCTCCCCCCTCAGGGTCCTTCCACGTCAGGTGTGTCCCAGGTAGACGTAGTCAAGCCTGTCGAGGTAGCTGTTGACTCTGGTGCTGCTAGAGGTGTTGAGCCTGCGGGTGCCGGTTCTGGGGGTGCTGAGACTAGGGGTGCTGAGCCTGGGGGTGCGGAGTCTGGGGGTGCTGAGACTGGGGGTGCTGAGTGTGGGGGTGCTGAGCCTTGGGGTGCTGGGTCTGGGGGTGCGGAGCCTCGGGGTGCGGAGCCTGGAGGTGCAGAGCCTGGGGGTGCCGAGCCTGGGGGCGCTGGGTCTTCTCGTGTGGCCGCCGGCGGTGCTTCGTCGAGGCGGGAGCCACTCTCTCCACAGGTGCAGCGCGAGTGGTTTGCCCGCCGTTGGAGACGTGCTGCTGAGACTGGGGGTGCTGCTGAGGCTACTGGAGTTGGTCCTGCTGGAGCTGCTAGCGGTACTAGTGCTGCTGGAGCTGGAGCGGCTAGGGGTGTTGGCGCTGGTGTTTCTAATGGCGCAAGTGCGTCTAGGGGTGCTGCTGAGGCTGCTGGAGCTGACGGTCCTACTGGAGTTGGTGCTGCTTGAGCTGGAGCTACTGGGGGTGTTGGCGCTAGCAGTGGTGCTGGCGCTGGTGCTTCTGAGAGTGCTAGAGTTGACGCTGTTGGAGCTGGAGGTGCTGCTGGCGCTGGTGTTGCCGCTTGGGGTACTGGTGCAGTCCCTGCTGGTTCTGGAGGCGCTGAGTGCCCGAGGCCGTACTTCGTTCCGCTCCTGGAGCAGGTTCTTGGTCTCCCACCCTCTCCTAGTCCTGCTCCTTCCTTAGAGTGTCCACAGCCTGTCCTGTCGCAGTCACAGTTACAGCCCGCCTCCCCTCTACCTGCTCCTTCTCCGTACAGTGGTCCTACTGGAAGTCTTGCTGAGCGTCGTGCGCCTGCGTCTCAACCTGCGTCGCCTGTTCGTACTGCTCGCACTAGTGGTCGTACTGCGCGTCCGCGTCCTCCTGCGGTCCCCGGTACACACCAGATGGCGCTGCGTCCTTCCACTACTCTTCTGCGTGTCCCGTTGCCGTCTCCTCCAGAGTCTTCTCTTCCTACTCTTGCTGACCCGGAGTCTGACTCCCTTCGTGCTGCTAGTCCTTTGGTCACGCGTCTCCTTGCTACTGTTGTCACTGACCCTTCCTTTGAGTCCACTACTGCGTGTGCCCTAGTTGGTGAGCTTGTCGACTTTGCTGCTCGCTGTCATCTAGACTACGCTTCCAGTCTCGTTGCTGAGTCTGAGTCTGTCTGTCCTCCGTCCGTCGGGGGTGAGTGTGCTCTTATCACGGACGTCCTTGAGGACAGGCAGGAGGAGTTCCAGTGCTTTGCTGCTGCTTTGCCCCATCTCGTGTCCATGCTGATTGCCCCTGAGGGAGACCCGGATGCACCAGACATCCCGACTCCTCGATCGTACGCTGAGGCGATCGAGGGTCCCTATTCCTCACAGTGGCAGTCAGCCATGGACGCAGAGATGGCTTCTTGGAAGTCCACAGGCACCTACGTCGACGAGATTCCCCCACCTGGGGCGCACATCGTCAGTGACATGTGGATTTTCAGGGTGAAGCGGCCTCCGGGTTCTCCGCCTGTCTTCAAGGTGCGTTACGTGGCTCGAGGCTTCAGTCAGCGGCAGGGAGTTGACAACTTCCAGACCTTCTCTCCCACCCCGAAGATGACCACTCTTCGGGTGCTGCTGCACATAGCCGCTCAGCGCGACTACGAGCTTCACTCTCTTGACTTCAGCATAGCTTTCCTGCAGGGCAGCCTGCACAAGGAGATCTGGCTGCGCCGCCCACCTGGCTTCACTGGGTCGTTTCCCCCTAGTACCCAGTGGAGCCTCCAGCGGCCAGTTTACAGTCTCCGCCAGGCACCCCGTGAGTGGCACGACACACTGAGGACTACACTTGCAGCTCTTGGGTTTGCTCCTTCTACAGCCGACCCGTCGCTGTTTCTGCGCACCGACACCTCTTTGCCGCCGTTCTACATCCTCGTGTACGTCGACGACTTGGTCTTTGCCACTGCTGACACTGCTGGACTCGCCCACGTGAAGTCCGAGCTGCAGAAGAGACACACGTGCACTGACCTGGGTGAACTGCGCAGCTACCTTGGCTTGCAGATTACCCGGGACAGAGCACAGCGCACCATTACCCTGACTCAGTCACACATGGTGCAGCAGGTCCTTTAGCGCTTCGGCTTCACGTACTCCTTGCCTCAGGCCACTCCTCTGTCTACTCGCCACTCGCTCTCAGCTCTGCCTTCGGATGAGTCCGTAGAGCCGAGTGGCCCGTACCCAGAGCTTGTTGGCTGCCTCATGTACCTGATGACCTGCACACGACCTGACCTTGCATACCCTCTTAGCATCTTGGCACGCTATGTTGCTCCTGGGAGACACCGACCAGAGCACATGGCTGCAGCGAAGAGGGTGTTGCGCTACGTGTGCAGTACGTCGGGCATGGGGCTAGTGCTTGGAGGGCGACGTCGAATGGTCCTCACAGGTCACGCTGACGCTTCTTGGGCTGACGACCAGGCTCTGCAGCGGTCGTCACAGGGTTACACCTCAGCCTTGGCTCCGGCTCTGTTTCGTGGCGGTCTACCCGCTCGTCCTCTGTTCTCAGCTCCAGCTGTGAGGCTGAGATCTACGCAAGGGCTATGGCTGCACAGGAACTACGCTGGCTCACCTACCTGCTGACTGACCTAGGAGAGCCGCCTCGTTCTCCTCCAGTTCTGTACGTAGACAACAAGGCCATGCTGGCCTTGTGTCAGGAGCACAGACTGGAGCACAGAACGAAGCACATTGCTCTCCGCTACTTCCTGGCTCGTGAGCTGCAGCAGCGTGGTCAGCTCCGCCTCACCTACGTGGCCTCTGAGGCCAACACTGCTGATATCTTCACCAAGGCCCTTCCGCCTTGTGATCCTCAGCGCTTCTGTACTTTGCTAGGTCTTGTGCCTACCTGGCCTCACTTGCTCACTTCTTGATCTTGTTTGTACTGTACTCTTTCTATACCTGCACTTGCTTGTTTACCTTTATATATATGATCTTGCATGTGAACTGGCCTTGTGGCCTTGCTCTTGTGCTCGGACTGTGTGGTGACTTTGTGATCCACCCTGAGCTTGCTTTGCTTTGCTTGACTGGTCTTGTGACCACTTGTTCTCCTCCACTTTGCCTATGGGGGTGTTTCAGAACATTATAGCTTATACATTTGTGTAGGCTGTAGTGGGGTAGCCCATAAGGGGTACAACCCAATTAGGGTTAGTACTTGTACCCAACTGTTTCATAGTTCAATCTTTCTTGTTCTAATTCTCACAAAACCCTAGCTATGGCTCCTTACTCTGCTTACTCTCTTAACATGCTATCAGAGCATCTACGCTCCTGGCCTGTGGGCCCACCTAACTGCTTCCGCTGCTACTCTGTCTGTTGCACGCCCCGTGGCGTGCGACTCCTCCTTCCTTCCTGCGGATTTTTTTTTTTTTTGTTTTTTTTCCGGTTTTTCTTTCCGCCGTGCGCTCGGGGCGCGCGGCGGTTTTCTGCCCGCCGTGCGCCCCGAGGCGCGCGGCGGTTTCCTTCCTTGGGGACCCGCGCGCGGCCCCCGCCCTGCTCGTTGCGGCGCCCTGGGGAGCTGCGCGCGGCCCCTTGCTGCCCCGTGGTGGCGCCCTTGGGGCCGCGCGCCACCCTTGGAGCCGCGCGCGGCCCCTCACTGCCCCGTGGTGGCGCCCTGGGGGCCGCGCGCCACCCCTGGAGCCGCGTGCGGCCCCTCGCTGCCCCTTGGTGGCGCCCTGGGGGCCGCGCGCCGTCCCCCTCGCCGTCCCCCGCGCTCCTACCCTGTGCCACCCGTTTTAGGGTTTGGGAGTGGGGAGTGTGGGGGTGACGGTTGTGGGGATGCCGGTTGTGTGCGCCGTCCCTTGCTCCTCCTCCTCCTCCGTCTCCCGCTGCTGCAGCTGCCGCTCAGGGGGGTGGGTGTGTGGGAGCCGAAGGAGTGGTGCTAGAGGGGTGACGTGGGAGTGGAGTTAGGGGTTCAGCAGGGGGTGTGTGTCAAGGGTGTGGGTCAGTTGGAGGAGGTTATGTGGAGGTAGCTGTCGTGTCGCCTGCAGCGCCTGTAGTCCGTCGCCCTTGCTTCGGTAGCCAGTGAGCCTGTTGCACCAGTCGCCAGTGGGTCCGTTGCTCCTGCCGCTCGTCTATAGCCATGGAGCCAGTCACTCCAGTAGTCCGTCGCCCTTGCTTCGGTAGCCACTGAGTCAGCCGCTCCTGTGCCCGTGCCTCTGCAGCTTCAGTCGTTGCCTCCCATCTTCTCTACGTCCACAGTACTCTCCTCCTCCTCACTTGCCCTCTGTGATAGCCTCTAGCTTTGCTTGCCATTGTGAACCTGCTCTATGACTGTGTGCTCTGCTGATTACACCCCACTTTGGCTATGGGGGTGTGTCAGAATGTTATTATCTAGCCTGTAGTGGGGTGCTCTATAGCGACTACAATCCTGTTAGGGTTTGCTATATGTATCTCAACTGCTGCTAGTGAAACCCTCCTTTGTTCTTTTCTCTCTTGCCTAGCTAGCTAAACCCTAGCTATGGCTCCTTACTCTGCTTACTCTCTTAACAAACCCTGCTGTGTGCCTCGTCCAGTAGCAGTTCCCTCAGTAGTGAGTACGCTAGTACGTAGATGCGATTTGTATCGGCTTTTACGTAGTACACTCCCTCAGCTTCTGTTAGCTGCTGCGAATTTCCGGTCGTGAAAAACGGGTCGGTGTTGTATCCGTGGATGAATAGGCCTGTTTACAGTGGGTTGGTTTGGGTAGATAGGATTGCATGAAGTTGGGAGGTGGGGCGGGTGAGTGCATCGGCGATATTCGATGCACCCATTTTTGTACGTCACGGTGTAGTGGAAGTTGGACTCTAGATAGTCCAACCAGCGAATCTGTCGCGGATTGAGATTTGGTTAGGTGCGGAGATACTGTAGTGCACGATGGTTTGTCCGTAATGTCACGTCGGCTCCTGTCAAGTAGCACCATCACACCTTGAACGCGTGCACGATCGCCAGCATCACGCGGTCGTGTATCGGGTAGTTGCATTCGTGTGGGTGAAGTTTGCGGGAGTCGTAGGCAATTAATTGAAGGCCGTTCCCGAAGTCCTGCGACAGTACTGCTCCCACAGTAGGCAATTGGTTGCGTCGGTGACGAGCTCGAACGGTCGGTGAGGATCTACGATGCGAAACATGGGCGGCGAGCACAAATTAGTTTTGAGTGCCGGGAAGGCAGCTTGCTTTTTCTTCCTCCGCGTGTACTCAACCCCCTTCCTCAGCAGGTTGGTCAACGGGGCAGTCAACTTCGCCATGTCAGGGACGAACCGTCGCACGTAGTTGACGAATCCCAAAAAACTCCGATACTCGGTCAAGTTTATCGGCGCGTGCCATGCTTGTATCGTCGCGGTTTTTTTCGGGTCTATTTCCACTCCGTTAGCCGAGATGATGTGCCCCAAAACTCCAGTCTATCCAGTAGAAACTCACACTTAGTGGCTTTCATGAGTAGGCGGTTCTCACTCAGTATTTTGAAAACAACTTCGATGTCTCGTAGGTGCGGTGATCATTCTGTGCTGTAGATCAGTATGTCGTCTAAGTACACGCTGATGCACTTATCTAAAAGCGGGCGGAAGGCTTCGTTTATGGTCATCTGGAGTGTGGCGGGGGCGTTGGTCAGTCCGAATGGCATTACCGTGTATTCGAATGATCCATAGCGTGTTCGGAAGGCGGTTTTCGGGCAGTCGGGTGTGTTGACACGGATCTGGTGGTAGCCTCCTCGAAGGTCGATTTTCGAGAAAACCCGGGCTATGCGCCGTTGGTCGATCAGTTCGTCGGCTCGCGGGATGGGGTAACGGGACTTGATGGTAACTCGGTTTAGTGCGCCGTAATCTATGCACATGCGAAATCCCCCATCTTTGTTCGGCGTGAATAATATTGATGCTGCGAACGGTGACGAACTCGGACGAATAAACTCCTTTTCGAACAGGTAATCTAGCTGCTTCCATAGTTCGCCCATTTCGGGTTGGGTCAGTCGGAACTGTCGTTGTACTGTCAGCTGTGGCCCCGGTCCTAGTTCTATTATGTGGTCGTGTGGTCGCTGAGGTGGCAGTCGTGTCGGCAGATTGTCCGGAAAAATCCCACTGTACTTCTTCAGTAGCGCTGCCAAGTCATCCGGTACGTCGGCGAGCAGATTCTGTAAGTCCCCTCCTTTGTCTGCTGCCTCGGCTTCCCGAATGTCAACCGTATACACGTCAGCTCCTGCCGTTACGGCGCGTTTCATCGTGATCGCGCTGACTTGCACCGACAAAGACTCAAGCGAGCTCCAGCGAGGTAAGGCGATGTTGTTACCGTTCACTCGCACTGTGCAGTCACCTGTCGTCCAGTCGATTCGCGGGTTGTGTCGTCGCGGCCAATTACGGCCGAGTAAAATGTCGGTTCCGTCGAGGGTCGTTGCGAGCATTTCCTGGCTAAGCGTGAAGTTACCTCGCATCAAATCCGAACTCAGTCTACACGTTCCGGTATTGTTAGTGGCGTGCCGTCAACCAGTCTTGCGTAGCTCAGGTAAACACCGGTCCAGTGGCGATTTCAGTCTCCGTGTTGTGGCAGTGTTGATGAGGCTGTGGCTGGCTCAATCTACAAAGATTTTAACTAAGTCCGTCCCACTCTTCCCACTAAGCGGTATGGGGCTATCTGTTAGATAGATGTCCACTGGAGATCCCCGATTGATCCTAGGGAAGGGTTACTGGCACGTCGGTCGGGGGGGTTATGGGCGCACTCACCCGCTATACAAACAAGCCTTTTTATCCCAGTGGTTAGTGACTGAGATTCTGACATGGTATCAGAGCGAAGGTCTCAGGTTCGAATCTCGGTGTGTGCACCTCAGGCGTCCCAGTGCGGGGGGGTGTCAAAGGTCCACTCGAGATCCCCGATTGATCCCAGGGAAGGGTTACAGGCACGTCGGCCTAGGGGGTTATTGGCGCACTCAGCCGCTACACAAACAAGCCCTTGTATCCAAGTGGTTAGTGGCTGGGATTCTGACACCATCTTCCGCGGTACCCTCCTTATTCGGCCGGGTGTGGTCGATTGCGTGAACCGGCACAATCAGTCGGTGAGGGTCGGTTGGATCGGGCGAGCGGAGTGACCTGTCAGTAGAGGGCCCGACTGCTACTGATTCCCAGCGTTTCCCTACTGCTTGATCTATTTCTGCTGCTCAACTTCCCCCTTTCCCTTAGCATTTTTCGGGCATTCGCTTTTGCGGTGTCCCAGCCGATTGCAAGCGAAAGAGCGCCCTTTGAACGGTGCGCCAGCGGCATTCGCTGCGACGGCACGTATCGTGACGTGCTCATTCGTCCCACGAGACCAATGTCCCCAGTTGCTGTTATTTCCGTAGGACCCCGGTCTCGGTCGGCGTAAGAAGTCGAGCTTCTCCGCCATAGCGAGAATCTCTTGAAATTCGGTGACGTCGCGGAGCTGAATTTCCTGGGCGATCTCGTGCTTTAGGTTGCCGATGTAGCCGTCGATGCGTTTGCCTTCGTGCATGTAGCCCACTTGCTCACACAGCGCCAGAAACCCGCTGGTGTAGTCCTAGACTGAACCGAGCTGGCGCCAAGTTTGGAGCCTCTGACGTGCCGCGATCGAAGCCGCAATTGGCTCAAATCGTGCGCGCAGACCTACGCACCACGCGTCCCACGTGCGATATTGGGGCACCTCCACGAAATGCGACGGCGCTCAGGGTCCGGTTTGTCCTTTCCGTGTCTGTAGAGTCGCGTAGTCCGTCGGCTTCGTGACGATGACGCGCCACCAATCCATGGCGGGTCCTCGTAGCAGCGACACGGCGTAACGAATCTTCTCCATATCCTCCGAGATGTAGTTTGCGTCAAAGAAAACGTTCATGGTGAACAACCACGCCTGAACGGTAGGACCACCGCATTGACTCGGGTCAAAATAAGGTGGACGCTGTGGCTTTGGCGGCATCGGCATCGGCAACGGCAGTGCTGACTTGCCGGTCGGCACCAAAATCGTGACGCGAGGTTGGCTTCTGGCCGCATTCGTCGCTCCGGGGTGTGTCGTGCTGTGGTCGTCGTCTCCGACGTTGCGGGCAACGCCATCACTAGCCGCGCTGGAGGATTGCCCCACACTTCCGTGTTGTGATGCGTGTCGTGCGGGTTGTCCCGGTATGCATGGTGCTTGCGATTGTGCTTGTTGTGCTCTTGCAACGTCATTTTGCAGGGACGTTCGTTCTGCCGTCAGCGCCGCGACTTCTTCGGAGCTTTCATGCAGCTGCTGCAGCAATTGGTTCAAGCGCTCCTGCGTGAGGCTCGTGACGTCGATATGCTCGGCCATTCCGAAGGGCGTCGGCTCAGCTTAGCTCTATGCGCAGTCGTGGCTGCACGCGATTACGAGAGAACGCGAGGACAGCGACTCCTAGGGGCTAGGGGGCGTGAGTCCCTTCGAGCAAAAATCAAAAGTTGATTTCCTGGGTGCGGAGATGCGCGCAGCGCGGTCCGAAAGGGGAAAGTGCTACGGTTGCAATAGAACGAGGTAGCGAGGATTGCACCATGTGGGTCAAAAGTATGAAGTATGAGCGAAGGCATGAGCGATTACTTATGTGCGAAAACATGCAACGGTTACGCGGTGCGTGCGAGCTAGCTAGTGCTAGGCTGGCATCGAGGTTCGGGCTAGTCCCGAGGCGTAGCCGACTCGGCCAGGCCAGCGGTGCTTGGTTTGGTAAAAGAATGCGCGCGAAGTTGGCGAAGCCCCGTTAGCAGAAACGGGCGAACCGCGTAACCGTTGCACGGCTGCTGCTGTACGCGTTGTGGATAGTCGCGGTAAGGAATGTTGAGAAAATTCCTTACACCTTTCAATGCTGCATTTTCTCTTGAGAAAGCCGATTTTGGATGGTACATCAAAGAGTGTCACTTTCACATACAAAATTACTCTTAGTGTATCCAACTGCTGATAGAGATGCAACCGGTAGTCCTCAGCTCCTAGTTTCTTTTCTTCCAGCCATCCGCATTCTGCCTGCATATCTTGCTGCAACCCAAGGCGCCAGCTCAGTCACATTCGGTTGCCTCGGATTCGACCGATAATAATTGGACCAATGGCTCTGCAGCAAACTTGTCTTGAGCCCGCCTGTCGATGAATCGTACAGCAAAAACGGCAGCCACGGATCATCTGAGCTCTGCTTCACACTGCCATTGCCACTGTCATTGCTAGGGCTGCTGTCGTTGCCGCCGCCGCTGCTGCTGCTGCTTCCGTTGCCACTACTCCTAGCAGCCTGTCGCCTCCGCTCTCTCTCCCGGGGGTAGCACAGAGGGGCCTGTACGTACCTGTGGGCATAGCCACACGGGAATGGATGTTGACGCGTCTTGGGAGGGCAATGTGGGACAAACTCTGAAACATCTAGAGCAACTCGGAGCTGCACAAGGGGTGGTTCTGAGGCGCCTCGAAACTTTTGGGGCACTTTTGATGGCACTTTGAAGCTGCAAATCGGTTGCTATGTTGCATGGGTGCATGGTTGCATGGGTGCATAGTTGCATGACCCCATGCCACCATGCAACCTAATGCCATGCTGCCCACCCGATGCCATGCCACCCACCTGATACCACCGACCCACGAGTCCCAGTGGAAGTGTGAGTGCCTGAGGTCTTTGGAGCCTCTTAAGTTGGCATCGCTAACACCTTGCACATGGTTACTTGCTTGCTTGCACGCATGCTGCTACCCCACCCACCTGATGCCATCCCACCCACCTGATGCCATCCACCAACCTGATGCCATCGACCCACGAATCCCAGTGGAAGTGTGTGTGCCCGAACACGTGGCACGCTGTGGGGCCGCCATGTGGCCCGTGCACGGACCGCACACGCGCCTCCAGCCAATGGGAGCCCGCCATCTTGGCGAGATTCGGATACAGCAGCATGCGCTTCTCGGGAAGCAGATCGATCCTGAGGGGATTCATAGTAAGGGAAAAGGGGGGGGGAGGGGCAGGTTGGGGTGGTTGGGAGGAAGAAGGGGAGCAGATAGCACTAGTTGGTTGGGGGAATTTCTCCCTGAGGGAAAGAGCATACAGCAGCATGCGCTTCTCGAGAAGAAGATTGATCCTGAGGGTATTGGGAGGACCAGGGGGACAGGATGTGGTGGGTGGGGCAAGGGGAGAAGGAAAAGAGCTCTAGAGATTCGGATACAGCAATATGTCTTCTCAGTAGAGCAGCATGCGCTTCTTCGAGAGCAGATCGATCCTGAGGGTATTGGGAGGACCAGGGGGACAGGACGTGGTGGGTGGGGCAAGGGGAGAAGGAAAAGAGCTCTAGAGATTCGGATACAGCAATATGTCTTCTCAGTAGAGCAGCATGCGCTTCTTCGAGAGCAGATCGATCCTGAGGGTATTGGGAGGACCAGGGGGACACAGTGGGTGTAAGGGAGATTTAAAGGGGGGGGGTTAGCAGCGTGTAGTGAGGTGCATTTTGAGGCGCCTCAAAATGGTCATGAGGGGATTGGGAGGACCAGGGGGACACAGTGGGTGTAAGGGAGATTTAAAGTGGGGGGTTAGCAGCTTGAGTGAGTCAGATACAGGTGCATGCTCTTTGCAAGGGGCAAATAATTTCTTCGGGTATCAAGAGGAAGCATGCGCTTTTCAGGTCAGAGGCCAGTTTTAAAGGGATTGGAAGGTGTGCAGAAAGGTGAGGAATGTTGAGGGATGGCGAGGAGAAAGGGAGGCCGGGAAACAGCTGTAGAGGTTGGGAGACTTCAAAACCCTACAGGTGCATACACATCAACGCAAGCATGCGTACATGCACACCTGGGAAGGAAGTGAGAGAAGGAGATGATCTGCACGCCCTCTGCTCCACTGCCCTCCACAGTCCCCTCTGCTCCACTGCCCGCCACACCACTGCCACCCAGAGGCACAGCAGCACTGCCCTCAGGCGCACGGGGCGAGACAGGAGCAGATGTGCTCGTGCTGCTTGTGGTGCTGCTGCCGGCAAGGCTGCTGTATGTGGTGCTGTTGTTGCTCAGAGCAACTTGGGAGCCACTGCTGCTGCTGACAGTTGTAGCAGTGCTTCCAAAGCTGACAGCAACGGCAGTGGGAGTGCTGGTGGCAGGGGCAGCAGTAACAGCAGCAGAAGCCAACGCACGGGTGTGATGCGCTGCCACCTGCAGCTTTGATACCACCGGCAGCTGCTCTGCCTTCTGCTGCTGCTGTGCTGCCTTCTGCTGCTGCTGTGCTGCCTTCTGCTGCTGCTGTGCTGCCTTCTGCTGCTGCTGTGATGCCAGCACCAGAGCAGGAAACAGGTGAGGGTGCTGTGTTCCCAGCTGCAGCAGCGGCCTCTCATTCAGACCATCAAAATGGGCAGCCAAAGCGTCACCTCCGTCTCCCAGAGAGTGCAAGGGTGAGGAGGAGTCTGGTGCGGTGACGTGCAGTGAGGAGGAGGAAGGGGGGGGCGAGGGAGGAGGGGAGTGAGAGGGAGTGAGGTGGGGCGGCCAGACACACACTCGGTAGTCCATGCAAGCCTGACGGGGCACAGACGGGAATACAGGCAAATTAAGGCGAATAGAGACGAATACAGGCGAATAGAGGCAAATAGAGACGAATAGAGACGAATAGAGGCATACGGGAACAAAGGCGAGGAGAGGCGAAAAAAGGCAAGGAGAAAGGAGGGGAGGGCGGAGTTTCCCACCTTACGCAGTGATGGCAGTCGGAGGTTCGGAATGTCAGGCTCGGTGTCGAAGCTCTGCACATGTGAGACGGACAGAAGAGCACTCATGAGGGAGCACAGAGGAACAGACAGAAGGGGGTGCAAGCGGTGGTAGCACGAGCAGAGTGAATGTGCAGTCACACGCACGCACGTATCCCTTCTCAACAAATTGACTTTTTGAGTCGACTCAAAAGTCAACGAGCAGAGTGAATGTGCAGTCACACGCACATATCCCTTCTCAACAAATGCCCTGTTACCTGGTGGTGCCACGACCAGAGCGGAACAATCCAAACGTTTCCGACCTGCAACGGCTCCGTGCGTACGCCCCACTGCTCGCAGCACTGTAGCACCTTTGTCAGCTTGTGCAGGGAGGTGAACGGCTCGGGGGAGGGCGGAGAGGAGGAATCTGGCAGTTCGTCCCCTTTGCCCCCTGTATTGCGATCTTCATGGCGTTCGTGGTTGCTGTGCTGGCTGTGCTGAGTATGGTGGGTATGGTGGTCATGGTGGTGGGTATGATGGTCATGGTGGTGGGTATGATGGTCATGGTGGCGGCACCAGAGCTCGTGGTTACCAGGGATGAAAAACACGTGGTGGAAGGCGGATGTCAGCAGCTGGAAGGTGCGTGATAGGACCTGCAAGGCACGACAACGAGCAGAGGGGTATGAATGGAGAGATAGAGACAGGCGAGTGGTTTAGAGGGACGGGCAAGAGATTGGCTGACTGGAGGGACGGGAGAGTGCCTGGCTCGAGGAGATTGCAAACAAATGCTGCAATGAATAGTCTACAAAATTTGCACCCAGAGACTCACTTGATGACTCACCTGACGACACCCTGACGACTCACCTGACGATTCAGGGGATGACTCACCAGACTGACGTCCAAAAACCATCAAGAAAAACCTCACCTCGCAAGAGGACTTCCAATATGGTACTACGCCAACTGAATTTCCATCTCGGAATTCACCTGAGGACTTACCTAACGACCCACCTGACCTCGAGATTGTCCGTAACGTCGCCTGCCAGTATGAGTACGTCTCTCCCCTTCCCAGAACCTTCCGACCGCTGACGTGTCGCCGCCAGCCGTTCCACCCACTCCATGTTTTCCGCGTGATCCGTGTGAATGTCCGACACCACGTAGACACGTGTCACCTCATGATCCTGCTTGCCACGTGGCGAATGATCATGCTCGTCCGGTTCGCTCATACTGCCAGCGGGTCCAGACGCGGAAATCCCCGCCAAGAGCTGTCTCGATAACGGTTTCCGGCCAGGCCGACCCGTGAAAGTGTACGATAATCGCGAAACGAGGCTAAATCGTCGGATTTGTGGATTGGAGGAAGATCGAACCTCCAAGTTGCGAAGGCTCTGAGTTACCGCTCTCCACCGATTAAACTCGCAACTTGAGCTCGCTGCGCCGGCGAGTGCACGCCGAGAGAGAGGATCAACGGACAGCAGCGAGCTCTCAGGAGAGAAACTAAACGTTCTACTGTAACTTAAACTAACTGGACTCAAGCTACTGAATTCCGCTGACAGTGCAGGTGAACGTTCAGCCACAAAACTTCTGGAAAGACCGTTGCCGCGAGCTCTCGACCCGCGGAGGCAGTAGCGGTGGAGGACGTAACGGCTTCGGACACGTGTCAGAATCCTGGCAGCGCATGGCAAGGAAATAGACGGTGACGAGTCCGCGAATGAGCCAGGACGAAAGGCGCGAGAATCGGCGAGCATTAGAGGAACGAGGTGGGGAGTGCTACGGGTGCTAAGGAGTGCGTTGGAGGTTGGGAAAGAAGAATGATGAGGAGGTATTTAGGATGAATTCGTATCAATGAGGTATTTCTGTTCTGCAAGCAGTTCGTCAGTGTCTACATCCATACTCCACATGGTAGTCTCGATACTCGAACCCGGAAATAGAACCAGCTCAAATCAGATTTACACAATCAGTTTTGTAGCACAGTTAACCGTTACATTCTAGCATTCTTTCCATTCTCAAGGTAAGTGTATAAAATATTTCAGTGCAACTCCAACACAGATACACGAGAATCAAGCTAATAAGCCTCATATGACTCAGATGGTAACAGCTTTAGTGGCTCAATCTGGCGTGAAAGGGAACCAGGTAGGCAGCAAGCCAAGCAACAGAAACACGCGGACAAACAAAACAGCGAGGGAGAACAGGCATGGCCGGGGAGACTCAACCAGTAAGGATTGACAATGTCAAGGCAGGCTTTGCGGAATAGGTACAGTGTTTCCAGGTTATGCGATGCGGCTTGCGCAAGGGAGACTGAGCAAGATAGCCCAAAGTATTAGCCCAATAGAAGCTGGGGAAGGTGGAACGGAAGTGCGGATGAATGATGGTGACGTGTGAAAACTAGATGGTTTGAAAGGCAAGGCTGCGGAGACTGGTCTAAGCTGAACAGTCCGGTACTGTGCTGTGCTGTGCTGTGCTGTGCTGTGCTGAACTGTGCTGCACTCTGCTGCACTCTGCTGCACGGTGCTGTGCGGTGCTGCGTGCCCACCCACCGCCCAAATACGCCTTAGAAGCCGTTCAGCGAGATAACCCAACTCTCTTTGAGACATCTCCAATCAAAAGCGCCCAAGGGGTGCACCAGTGCCATGCCATGCAGCACACAAGCAGGCTGAAGTCTGGATGGGTGACGGGTGGGCATGCCCCGAACCCCCTTCCCTCCTCCTCCCTCCTCCCTCCTCCCTCCTCCCTCCTCCTCCCTCCCTCCTCCTCCCTCCTCCTCCCTCCTCCCCATGTTTTGAATCTTGAATCTCAGCAAACTATCATGATGTCGCTGTTGGAGTCAGTCCAATGGGTTCAGTGCGGTGCAGTAAGTGCGGCTCAGACTGGCAGGTGGGCATGTCAGAACCCCCCGCGAGCTTCCCTTGGAGTGTCGGGCACTTGCACAAAGGGGTGCTGTAGTAGCTGCTCACGGGAAGGAGGGTTGGGAGTGAAGTGGGGCGCACAGTGCGTGATATGGTGAGTGAGTGAGTGAGTGAGTGAGTGAGTGAGTGAGGGAGGGAGGGAGGGAGGGAGGCCGGGGGCGCTGTGCGGGGTGAAGCTTGAATTAAGCGGCGAGGAGTTTTCGGCCTTCCCACTCGAGCTTGTACTGATGTGAGATTCAGCACACCCTCTCTCACCCACACACAGACCCACTCACACGGACATCTCACCTCAGTGGCAGAGGGGCGTTCCCCCGGGTCAAGCTTGAAGCAGGCAGCGAGGAAGTCCGTGCCCTCGTCGCTGCACTCTCATAGTAGCAGAGCACGCACACACACACACTCACCCAAATACTCACCAGCCCAAAAACACACACAGCAGTGACGACTCACCTCAGTGGCAGAGGGGCGCTCCCCAGGTCGAGCTTGGAGCAGGCAGCAAGGAAGTCCCTGCCCTCGTCGCTACACTCCTCTGGGATGGGCGGCACACATACACGCCCATCCACAGACCTACACAAACAAACACACCACACACACGCCAACCCACAGACCTACACAAACCAACACACCACACACACGCCCACCCACAGACCTACACAAACCAACACACCACACACACGCCCACCCACAGACCTACACAAACCAACACACCACACACACGCCCACCCACTCACCTCAGTGGCAGAGGGGCGTTCCCCCGGGTCGAGCTTGAAGCAGGCGGCGAGGAAGGAAGTCCCTGCCCTCGTCGCTGCACACTCAAGGTTAACGCGGCACACAGGCTCACCCACCCACCCACCCACCCACACACCCACACACAGACCCACTCACCTCAGTGGCAGAGGGGCGCTCCCCCGGGTCGAGCTTGAAGCAGGCGGCGAGGAAGGAAGTCCCTGCCCTCGTCGCTGCACACTCAAGGTTAACGCAGCACACAGGCTCACCCACCCACCCACCCACCCACACACCCACACACAGACCCATTCACCTCAGTGGCAGAGGGGCGCTCCCCCGGGTCGAGCTTGAAGCAGGCGGCGAGGAAGGAAGTCCCTGCCCTCGTCGCTGCACACTCAAGGTTAACGCAGCACACAGGCTCACCCACCCACCCACACACCCACACACAGACCCACTCACCTCAGTGGCAGAGGGGCGCTCCCCCGGGTCGAGCTTGAAGCAGGCGGCGAGGAAGGAAGTCCCTGCCCTCGTCGCTGCACACTCAAGGTTAACGCAGCACACAGGCTCACCCACCCACCCACACACCCACCCACACACCCACACACAGACCCACTCACCTCAGTGGCAGAGGGGCGCTCCCCCGGGTCGAGCTTGAAGCAGGCGGCGAGGAAGGAAGTCCCTGCCCTCGTCGCTGCACACTCAAGGTTAACGCAGCACACAGGCTCACCCACCCACCCACACACCCACACACAGACTCACTCACCTCAGTGGCAGAGGGGCGCTCCCCCGGGTCGAGCTTGAAGCAGGCGGCGAGGAAGGAAGTCCCTGCCCTCGTCGCTGCGCACTCAAGGTTAACGCAGCACACAGGCTCACCCACCCACCCACACACCCACACACAGACCCACTCACCTCAGTGGCAGAGGGGCGCTCCCCCGGGTCGAGCTTGAAGCAGGCGGCGAGGAAGGAAGTCCCTGCCCTCGTCGCTGCACACTCAAGGTTAACGCAGCACACAGGCTCACCCACCCACCCACACACCCACACACAGACCCACTCACCTCAGTGGCAGAGGGGCGCTCCTCCGGGTCGAGCTTGAAGCAGGCGGCGAGGAAGGAAGTCCCTGCCCTCGTCGCTGCGCACTCAAGGTTAACGCAGCACACAGGCTCACCCACCCACCCACACACCCACACACAGACCCACTCACCTCAGTGGCAGAGGGGCGCTCCCCCGGGTCGAGCTTGAAGCAGGCGGCGAGGAAGGAAGTCCCTGCCCTCGTCGCTGCACACTCAAGGTTAACGCAGCACACAGGCTCACCCACCCACCCACACACCCACACACAGACCCACTCACCTCAGTGGCAGAGGGGCGCTCCCCCGGGTCGAGCTTGAAGCAGGCGGCGAGGAAGTCCCTTCCCTCATCGCTGCACTCCTCTGGGATGGGCGGGCCCGTGGTGGTCTTGGCGATGTGGAATATGGCCGACCACGTGTTGTCCATGTTGGGCCATGGGTGGCTGGGGAGGGGGGGGGGGGGGGAGGGGACGGGGAGGGAGAGCAATGGGGGGTGGGGTAGGAAATGATGAGGGGAGGAAGGGAGAGGGATGGACACGGGCCCGTGGTGGTCTTGGCGATGTGGAATATGGCCGACCACGTGTTGTCCATGTTGGGCCATGGGTGGCTGGGGAGGGGGTGGGGGGGGAGGGGATGGGGAGGGAGAGCAATGGGGGGTGGGGTAGGAAATGATGAGGGGAGGAAGGGAGAGGGATGGACACGGGCCCGTGGTGGTCTTGGCGATGTGGAATATGGCCGACCACGTGTTGTCAATGTTGGGCCATGGGTGGCTGGGGAGGGGGCGAGGGGGGTTTGGTTGGGTGGGAGGTGGGAGATGCGGACAGGCAGGGAGCAGGGAGAAAGGTGAAGAGGTGGTCTTGGCGATGTGGAATATGGCTGACCATGTGTTGTCCATGTTGGGCCATGGGTGGCTGGGGGAGGAAAGGAGTGAAAAGGGAATTCAGTGGAGTTGGTTGGGTGACAGAGAGAGCGGAAGAGAAACCCTAACCCTCTAGCGTGAAAACCTAGGTGAAGACGTAGGTAGAAACCTAGGTGGAAACCTAAGTGAAAACCTAGGTGGAAACCTAAGTGAAAACCTAGGTGGAAACCTAGGTGAAAACCTATGTGAAAGCCTAGGTGAAAACCTAGGTGAAAGCCTAGGTGAAAACCTAGGTGAAAGCCTAGGTGAAAACCTAGGTGAAAGTCTAGGTAAAAGCCTAGGTAAAAACCTAATCCTTTCCCCACCCCTCACCTGCCGGTAAGCATTTCAATGACGGTGCAGCCGAGACTCCAGATGTCAGCGCGGCGGCCGTACCCCTCCCCCTTGATCACCTCGGGCGCCATCCAGAACACCGACCCGCGGATCGACTTGCACCCCTCGCCCACCGTGCCCTCGTGAAACGCCTGGAGGGGGACAAAGGGGGAAGGGGGAAGGCAGGGAAGGGAAAATAAGTGGGCAGAAGTGGGAAGGGGGTGGCGGGTGGCGGCTGTACCCCTCCTCCTTGATCACCTCGGGCACCATCGAGAACACCGACCCGCGTATACTCTTGCACCCCTCGCCCACAGTGCCCTCGTGAAACGCCTGAGAAGCATGAGAGAGCATCAATTTGGAGGGAGAGGAAGAGGGAGTGGAATTAGGGTATACATGGTCAAAGTGACGAGTCGAGCAATACTCGACTCGTCCATGGTCTTGCTCGACGAGCTTTTGCTCCGAGTCGAGCAAAACTCTGACGAGCAATTTTCAACATTTTGCATACTCGGGACTCGTCGTTTTAGGGCATGCTCGGGCGAGTTTAGGGGAAAGCTTGTCCGAGCACAAGACATGCTCGACTCGCCACTCGCAAGCACTAAGTTACCACGGACGCGTCCAGCTAGCTAAGTGGGGATTATTGGAGTAGACTAGCGGGGGAGGGAAGGAGGTTGTGTGATGGGCCATAGGCTGGCAAGCGCAAGGAACGATGTGGCTTTCTGAAGTGACGGGATCTCAATCTGGATCTTGAATCTGGATCTGGTGGTTGGGTTTTGTAGATTCAGTGCGGTGAAGAGAGGTAAGTGGTGGCGAATTGGTTGGGAGATCAAGTGGCAATTTAGTTGAAAAGGCATATTCGTTTTGCTCGACCAAAAGAAAGATCTGAGCGTAGTGATTGATTGACACGACCAGTGGCAGACTTCGCAGCGCAATTGCCGGCGAACCCCGCGGATTGACGGGCGAAATCACCGATTCGCGCGGATTGACGGGCGAAATCACCGATCCGCGCGGATTGACGGGCGAAATCGCCGATCCGCGCGGATTGACGGGTGAAATCGCCCGCGAGTAAAAAAAACTCGTCGAGCACGTAATCTTCACGAAAATGCTCGTCCCTCAAGGCGAGCATGCGACGAGTAGATAAAACTCGTCGAGTAAAACTCGCCTCGCCTCGGGCGAGTTTTTTTCCCAAAAAATCAGGCTCGTCACTCGTCCCCCAACGAGCATTTCGAACGAGTCGAGCAAAAACCCTACACTCGTTGCCCATGTATAAATTAGGGAGAGGTATAGGGGAGAGGGAGGGGCAAGATGAGGGAGAGGAGGAAGGGCGGAGAGTGGGATGGGTGAAGGAAGGGGGCTGCAGGGCCAGTCAGCAGCAAGGAGAGAGGGGGATCTGAGAAGTAGGTATTTTGGAGTAAGAATCAGACCCAACTGTGTTATTTCAGCGGATCTATACACGGTTACCTCCACTGAGATAGCTCTGTTGGATCTGATTCTTACTCCAAAATAATTCTCACATTCCCCCCCTCTCCTTGCTACTGACTGGCCCTGCAGCTCCCCTTCCCTCGCCCGTCCCACTGATCTTGCACCCGTGCAGATACTCCAGCCCCAGCAGCAACACCACACACCATCCCATCCCAACCCCCCATTCCTCAGCATGCTCTCACCACCCCCCTCACCCCTGCCCGCTGTAACTGCCCTCCGCCCCTCACCTTGGAAGCACCAAAATCAGCAAGTTTAATAACCCCATCCCGGTCGACGAGCACGTTGCCGCCCTTGATGTCGCGATGAATGATCTTGCACCCGTGCAGATACTCCAACCCCAGCAGCAGCTGCCGAGTGTACACTCGCACTAGGGACTCGCTGAACTTGCCAAACTTGTCCAACATGCTGATGGGGGGGGCGCGGAAAGGAAGAGAGAGGGGCATCAGCTTAGTACAGCCGTGTTGGTGTTACAGCAGCAGCAGCTGCCGTGTGTACACGCGCACCAGGGACTCACTGAAATTGCCAAACTTGTCCAACATGCTGATGGGGGGGGAGGAGGGGAACGGGGTGGAGACAGGCAGAGGAAGGAGCGGATGGAGAGGCAGATAGATAGATAAGGAGACAGGGGGAGAGAGACGGGGAGAGGAGTGGGGAGAGTGGGAAGAGTCATGAGGGCACATAAATCACATCTGAGTGGGAAGAGGCATGAGGGCACATAAATCACATCTGAGTGGGAAGAGGCATGAGGGCACATAAATCACATCTGAGTGGGAAGAGTCATGAGGGCACATAAATCACATCTGAGTGGGAAGAGTCATGAGGGCACATAAATCACATCTGAGTGGGAAGAGGCATGAGGGCACATAAATCACATCTGAGTGGGAAGAGTCATGAGGGCACATAAATCACATCTGAGTGGGAAGAGGCATGAGGGCACATAAATCACATCTGAGTGGGAAGAGGCATGAGGGCACATAAATCACATCTGAGTGGGAAGAGGCATGAGGGCACATAAATCACATCTGAGTGGGAAGAGTCATGAGGGCACATAAATCACATCTGAGTGGGAAGAGTCATGAGGGCACATAAATCACATCTGAGTGGGAAGAGTCATGAGGGCACATATATCACATCTGAGTGGGAAGAGGCATGAGGGCACATAAATCACATCTGAGTGGGTACTGCAAGCCGTGCAGAACTTGCTAAACTAGTCCGGCAGGCTGTGGTCGGTGGGGGACGAGGGAGGAAGGAAGAGAGATGGGGAGGAAAGAGGGGAGCAGAGAAGGAGGGGAGAGGCAGAGAGAGGCAGAGGGAGATGAAGAAGAGAGAGGCAGAGCTTGAACCATCACTCCCCTCCCCCGTACATGTGGATGGACCCTCCCTCTTCCCTCCCCACCCCACCCCTTTTTCCCCCTCTCCCCCCTCCCCCAGTCCCCCTTGAACCCCACCTGTGGATGGAGCCTCCGGAGATGAATTCGAGGAAGATGTAGAGCGACCCGTCGCTTTCATCCTTCTCCATGTCAATGTATGCCACGATGTGCCGGTGCCGCATCTGGCGGTACAGCACAATCTCCTGCTCCAACGCCGCTATGTGCATCGCCTTTTCATCGCCCGCCGACGTCATCTTGATCTGCTTCACCGCCATCAATTCTCCCGTCATCTCGTTCAGACCCAGGAACACCTGGAGGGGTTACAGAGGTGGTGCGGGGTGGAATGGGATGGAATGGGATGGAGTACGATGGAGCGTGGTGGAGTGCGGTGGAGAGGGGTGGGGAGGGGGTGGGATAGTTACAGTGCCGCATCTGGCAGTACAGCACAATCTCCTGCTCCAGCGCCGCTATGTGCATCGCCTTCTTGTCACCTGCTGACGTCATCTTGATCTGCTTCACCGCCATCAGCACTCCCGTCATCTCGTTCAGCCCCAAAAAGACCTGGAGAGGGGAAAGATGGAGTGATACAGTGCAGTACGATGGAGTGGCTTGGAGAGGGGTGGAATGGGGGATGGTGTCATCTGGATCTGCTTCACCACCATCAGCTCGCCCGTCATCTCGTTTAGACCCAAAAAGACCTGGAGGTGGGGGGAGGGGGGCGAGACATGGCATTGTGGAGTGGTGTCACAACCAGGCGACAAGTGTAACAAGCACGCAATGAGTAAAACACGCACACACGTATGCACGCACCTTGCCATACGAGATTGAAGCACACACGTATGCACGCACCTTGCCATACGCGCCTTCCCCCAGCAGCTCGCCCCGCTTCCACTTCATGGTGCCCAGGGGCGCCATCGGCTCCCCATCCATCAGCTCCTTCCCCCCCCCCCCCCGCTGCTGCTGCTGCTGCTGCTGCTGCTGCTGCTGCTGCCGGTGATGCCTTCTCTTCACCCCCATCCTTCTTCCCCCCTTCCTTCTTCTCCCCGTCCTTTTTCTCCCCTTCTTTCTTCTCCCCTTCCTTCTTAACTTCCCCGTCCTTCTTCTCCCCATCCCCTGCCTTCTTCCCACCAGCACCAGCACCAGCAGCATCATCCCGGTTATTGGGGTTGGTGGGGCAGTCACACTGCAGCTCCCCACACGCCACACACCCGCCCCTGGCTGCAGCATCCCTCCAGTCAGGTCGGATGAGCTTCAGGTCCTCTTCAGATATCTGCTCAGGTGAGGGGGTGCTTGCTCCCGCGCTGCCACTGCCACCGCCACCGCCACCGCCACAGCCACTAGCACTCGCACCAGCATTAGCATTAGCACTGGCACTAGCAACAGCACTACCTGCTGCAGCGCCTGCTGCTGCCCGTCTGTTACTAGGCGACACAGGCACCTGCCCCCCTCCCTTCTTCTCCTCCTCCTTCCCACCGCCGCCCTTCCTCTCCTCCCCTCCACTCTCCCCCTCCTTCTCCTTCTTCTCCCCCTCCCCGTCCGTCGGCAGCGCAAACTTCACTGATTTCCTCTCCCGCGCCCCCTTGGGCGTCATCCGCCCGCTCCCCCCTCCCCCACCCCCTCCGCGCCCCTCCTCATGCCCACTCCCCCCTCTGAGCGGGCTCCTAGGCCGCCCTGCCCCACTCCCCCCCGCTCCCCCTCCCCCTGCTCCTCCTCCCCCACTGGGAGTGAGCGGTTTCTTCTGTGCAACACTCCCCTCGTCCTCAAATCCTGCCGGCTCCCCCACCCTCAGTGAGGCGGGTCGCCTAGCAGAGTCACTCCCAGAGGGGGACCTAGACGCGGCCACTGACCCCCCTCCGCCTGCCCCTGCTCCTGCACCCCCACCAGTGGCAGCAGCAGCGCCTGATGCTGCTCCCCCACCTGCGGCTGCTGCTGCTGCTCTGTTGGGAAGCCGCCTGCCAGTGTCACTGTCGCTGTCCCCGTGCCTCCCGCCCTCCCCTTCCCGATCCTCTGCTGCCGCAGCAGACGCAGAAGCAGCAACACGAGGCAGCCTCCCACTATGCCCCTCCGCCCCCCCCACCCCACCTCCTCCTCCCTCCAGCATCGCAGCACCATTCCACGATGCATACATGTTCTCCCTCCCCCCGCGCCCCCCCGCCCCCCCCCCCATGCTGCCGCCTCTCCCCGCCCATCCCCGCCCCGCCCCGCACAAACCCCCCGTCCTCCCGCTCATCGTCCGAACTCGCCCTCCCGCCACCACCCGCCACATCCCCTGCGCGCCCCCCTCTCCCCCCATACGGGTTCCCAAACACATCCACCACGCCCCTCGCCCCTCCCCCAGACGATTTCCCGTCCAAAGACCCCCGCCTACCCCCACCCCCGCCCCCCAAATCCAACCTCCCCATGCTAGCCGAATCCACGCTATCATAGGGGGACCTTCCCCGCATGCCCCCTCTCCCAGGCGTCCCAGGTCCCCCCCCGCCCCCAGTTCCCCCTGCTCCGCCTGCCCCTCCCCCTCCCCCTCCCCCCCCGCCTGCTGCTGCCTGCCCCACGAGGCGCTCTGCTCGGAAGTCAGCGAAGTTGCGCGGGCGGGGCTGGGCGGCCAGACGCGACCGGTCTGTTGTGATGGCCGCGCCTGCTGGATCGGGGGTGGAGGGAGAGGGGAGAAGGGGTTGAACGCCAGGGGGTTTTGACAGAGGGGGGTTGTGCAGCAGAGAGAGCAGGGGAGAAGAGAAATCCGAGAAGTAAGGAGTATAAGCAAGAGGAACGGAAAGCAGAGAGCACAGAGAAGCAGAAAGAGCAGAGAGATCAGAACGCAGAGGAGCAACAGCGGAACAAGAGAGGCCGCAGGGGAACAAGAGAGGCAGCAGGGGAACAAGAGAGGCAGCAGCAGAAGCAGAGAGGCAGCAGGGAAAGCAGAGAGGCAGCAACGGAAGCAGAGAGGCAGCAGGGAAAGCAGAGAGGCAGCAACGGAAGCAGAGAGGCAGCAGGGGAAGCAGAGAGGCAGCAGGGAAAGCAGAGAGGAAGCAGGGAAAGCAGAGAGGAAGCAGGGAAAGCAGGGAAGCAGAAAGACATTGCACCTGCGGTGTGCCGGCGGGTGCCAAAGCTGCCGGCTTCAGCATCGGAGAGGCTGCTGTTGTTGGCCTGCACGATGCGCCGCGCGTACTGCTGCCCACCCGACTCCACCGACAGCCAGGGAAGCAGCGGCAGTAGGGAAGAAGGGGAGCAGAGTGTGCAGAGCGGGGGGGGCAGGGGAAGCAGAGGGGCTGCAGGAAAACAGAGGGAAGCAGCAGCGCACCTGCGGTGTGCCGGCGGGTGCCAAAGCTGCCAGCCTCGGCATCGGAGAGGCTGCTGTCGTTGGCCTGCACGATGCGCCGCGCGTACTGCTGCCCGCCCGACTCCACCGACAGCGTCCGCGAGTCCCGGATGTGCCTGCGCGCCAACGACGCCGCCGGCCCCGCCGCCGCCACTCCCCCCGCTGCTCCCCCTCCCCCTCCTGCCCCTCCCCCTGCCCCTCCCGGCCCCATATGCTCGTCCTTCCCCGCGCCGCCACCACCCCCTCCTGCTCCTCCGCCTCCCCCTGCTGCCCCCCCCGGGCCCGGCCAGGCGAAGGCCGGCGAGTCGTCATCACGGTCGTTCTCCCACGCCTGGAGGAAGATCTGCTCATTGCTATCCAGCAAATCACGCGGGCTCTCCACGTCAGCGTGGTCCCCACCGTCCCCACCCCCTCCGCCCCCTCCTCCCCCTCCGCCTCCGCCTCCCCCTCCCCTCGCACGTGCATGAGGCTGGGACAGCCAATCGTCCTCCCGGGTGCTCCCTCGCTCCACAGCAGAGCGGCTGCCTGTGCCACCCCGCCCCGCTGCCGGCCCCTGCCGCCCGGGCGGCTGCTGCGCGCTGCCGCCGCCGCCGCCCAGGCGCGTGCGGGCGGCGAGGGCACGAGGGGAGATAAGCTGCTGAACTGATGACCCGTTGGGGACTGGGGGGAGGGGCAGAGGGGAGACAGGGAGATAGAGGGACAAGGGGAGGGAGGGGTGGGGGAAAGGGGCGACCGGGGGGCAGTGGGTGCAGGGGGGTAGTGGGGCAGTGGGGGGGTTGAAAAGGGCAGGGGAAGAAGCGGGGGTAGGAGGGGGAAGGGGAAGGGACAGGGGAGGACGTAGAGGCAGTGGGGTAAGGGGGAACAGTGGGGCAGGGAGAAGCAATGAGCAGGTTGAAAGAGTGGATAAGATCTGAGGAGACGGTCAGCTGGTCACAGAGGAAAGTGAAACGACTTCCCAGGCATCTAGAAAGTCGAGTAAGCAGATATGGTGTGGTGTGGTGTGGTGTGGTGTGGTGACGAGGTAGATACAGGGCGAAGGGAAGCGAGTGGAGCACGGGGAGGGCGGGAACTGAGCACAGAAGATTGCATTCAAGCATATGTCCCTCCATGATCCATCACCGCTCCCACCCACACATACCCTCCTTACCACATACCACACATTCCTACCACCACCCCACTTACGCACATACCCCCATCACCCCACCCACACACCCCATCACCCACACACCCCATCACCAACACACCCCAACACCCACACACCCCATCAACCACACACCCCCATCCCAAGCACCCCACCACCCACACGCGCTCACCTTCGTCATCCCACCCATCATCCACCATCCCGCCCACATCCCGCATGCTCATCCTTCCCCACGCCCCACCAAAATCCTCTCCCCCACAAACCCATCAATCACCCCACCCAACCCACACCCCCCGTTACCACACGCGCTCACCTTCGTCATCCCACCCGTCATCCACCATCCCGCCCACATCCCGCGGGCTCATCCTTCCCGACGTCCCAGGGGAGATCGGCGGCGACCCTCTCAACCCCCTTCCCCCTCCCCCTCCGCCCGCGCCCCCACCGCCCGCCCCCGCGCCCTCCCCATCGCCCACGAGCCCGTGGCGCTGGTGGTACTCGTGCAGCTTGCGGAAGAGCGTGCGGATGCGGTCCGTCGAGGCCAGCTGCTGCGGGTACAGCCCGTCCCGGTTGCGCGCATACATGTTGGCGCCTGCTACCAGCAGCAGCTTGATTATGCCCCTGGGGGAAGAGGGGGAAGGGGGAGGGGGACAGGGCGAGGGGGGAACGAGGGGGCATTGGGGGGCAAGGCACGGTTGAGGCAGGCAGGAACAGCCCGTCCCTGTTGCGCGCGTACATGTTGGCGCCCGCTACCAGCAGCAGCTTGATTATGCCCCTGGGAGGTTGACGATGGGGGAGCGGACGGGGGGGGAGGGGGGAGGTTGGGTTGTGCACAGGGTGGGGGAGGTAAAGGCACGGTTGAGGGGGTACAGGCCGTCGCGGTTGCGCGCGTACATGCTGCCGCCCGCCACCAGCAGCAGCTTGATCATGCCCCTGGGGGAGGATGGGGTAGGGGAGAGGGGAGAGGGGAGAGCGGAAAAAGGAGAGGGGAGAGGGGATCAGGGGGGGAAGGGGATTGGGGGGAGGAGTGGGGTGCGTGTGGTGTTGAGGCGGCTACGTCCCCTTGAATGGGATGGGTTGGGCTGGGATGGGCTGGGATGGGCTGGGACGGTGGGACCTATTCTGTGCCTCAGTCCCGCACCTGTCCATCACAACACAACACACTCCCAGCACAACACACTCTCACGACCGTACCTGTGGCCGGCGGCGCAGGCGTAGCGCAGTGCAGCAGAGAGGTGTACTGCTTGGCGTCCTGCGCGTTGACGGTTCAGAGGAGCCCACCAGCAACACAGCAACCTGTGCCGCATTACTGCACCTGTGCCTCACGACTGCACCTGTGGCCAGCAGCGCAGGCGTAGTGCAGCGCGGTGTACTGCTTGGCGTCCTGCGCGTTGATGGTTCAGAGGCCCGTTAGTGACACACCGCTTCATGACTGTACCTGTGCCTGTGCCTGTGCCTGTGCCTGTGCCTGTGCACCATGACCGCATCTGCACCTAGCCCAACCTTACCTGTGGCCGGCAGCGCAGGCGTAGTGCAGCGCCGTGTACTGCTTGGCGTCCTGTGCGTTGATGTCCGCCCCGTGCGACAGCAGTAGCGTGACCATCTTGTCGTTGCCCGTCTGCACCGCGTACATGATGGGCGGCATCTGTGTGGAGGAGGGGAAGAGGGGGGGAGGGGAGGGGCGAGGGGAGAGATGGGAAGGCACGAGCAGCAGAGTGGGCCACAGGAGGGGAGCGAGCCACAGCAGCAGCGCCACCATCTTTCACGCTGCTCTCACGCTGCTCTCATGCTGCACTCTCCCTCTCTCTCGCTCTCTCTCAAGCTTAACTGCGCCGCCTGCCCACCGCCCTGCCAGGGTCAGCGTTCCACACTAGGGCCGCGGACTGCCTGCGTCATCAGCACCGCGCTGACTGCCCGCCGTCTCACCTGCGCGGACTGCCCGCCGTCAGGGTCAGCGCCCCACTCTAGCAGCGCGCCCGCCGCCTCCGTGCTGGACGCCACCACCGCCTCGTGCAGGGCCGTGCGCTGCGAGGCTGGTGGGGGTTGGGGGTGGGGGGGAGGGGTTGGAGTGGGTGGAGAGGAGTGAGAGCCCGTCCGTGCTGGACGCCACCACCGCCTTCGTGCAGCGCCGTGCGCTGAGAGGCTGGTGGGGAGAAGGGGAGAAATGAGGAGAGCAAGTGAGTAAGATGGCGTCTGTGCTGCACGCCACCACCGCCTCGTGCACGGCTGTGCGCTGGGAGGCTGGTTGGCGGGGGGGAGAAGGGGGAAGACGGGGGTTGGAGGGGTCGGATGGGGGTTGAGGGGGGTTGTGGGGAGTGAAGCGGTGAGGGGGAGAGGGAGTAGAGCGGTGACGGGGAGTGGAGAGGTGACAAGAATTCACGTGCACATTGCCTTGTGCGACACCTGCTTCCACGCTGTGACAGGGGGGGAGGGCGGGTGGTGGTAGCCAACGGAAAAGCATTGCGAGAGTAGGGGCGATGGGAGGAGGGGGGGCACAGATACACCTGGACGGGTTCTACCTGGATAAACAGTGTTGAGCAGGGCGGTGCGGGACGGCGCCTCCTGCAGGACCACGTTGACCAGGTCAACGTCGTTCTCCCGCACCGCCTCCATCAGCTCCGCCACCCGCCGCATGTGCTCCGCCTCCCCCCGCGACGCCTGGAAGCTTCCCCCGATGCCCCCGCCCCCGGGCCCCCCGCCTGCCCCCCCTGCGCGGACAGCGGCGCCGCTGGGCTGCGCGGAGGGCGTGGCGACCTTTACCATGCGGCGGGGACTCAGCGAATCCTGGCGCGCGCAGTGGCGGAAAAGAAGTGGGGAGGAAGGGGGAGAGGCGAAGAGAAATATTAGGCGTAGATTAGACATAGGCGCAAGGTGGAGGGTATAGGCGGAGGGCGGGGAGTGAGCGGTCAGGCGAGCGGGGAGAGGGAGGCCGGGGTGAAGACGAGGCGGATGGGGGGTGGGGGGTTGGGGGAGAGAGGCGGGGGGGGAAGGGCTGAGAATGGGAGCAACATAAGGCAAGCTAGGGGTTGCACCTGCGGATCCTAAAAGACAGCGTCCCAGCCGTACCAAGCGGCGCAACATTAGGGTACGCGCAGTCACGATTGTCCGACCAAGACAGCAAGGCAGAGCTATGTCGAATCGACTTTTGGGTGGACTCAAAAGGCATTTGAATTGAACGGAAGAGACAGCAGGACCGTGTCGAAGGCTAACAGCTTGCTGGCTCAAGTAACGGAAACACACGTCGCGGCTGCAATGGCGAGAAGCATGACCGTGTGACTTGAAGAGTCCGACTTGAAGAAACGCACGCACACCCATGCGTTGGAGACTACGAGAACGGTAAGGAGAAACGGGCGAGATAAGACGAGTGATAAAGTCGCGAAAGCTATTCTGCGTGTTACAGGTTACAGCGAGAGGAGCCCACGAGAGGAACCGCGGAGTTCATTCTCACGCGGCGAACATGGCGACGCTACTCTGGCGGGTATCGCTGAAGCAAAGAATGACTGGCTGATGAGACCGACAGAAAACCCATGACGGGCCGGTGATAGGGACCGCCGCGTACGAAACGCGAAAAGGCAAGGAGACGCGCACATGTAAGCGAGCGGGGAGTTTGATATCAACCAGCAATCACTTCAAGCCATTTAACATACTCAGCATAATTATCCCCGGATACCCTAATTGTATGTGAAATCGAGATAAAAAGAAACAGAAGAAAAAGCAGAGGCAGAAGCAAGAACCCGCAAGTACCAGCAGCAGCACGGCAACTGACCGACCTTCCCGCCTGCCTTAACCATATCGATGCTTGCTTTCGAGACGCCACAAACACGCGCCGTTCTACGCGCGCCAGCGACTGACCTTCCTGCCGGCCTTGATCATGTCGGCGTCCAGGCGAAGCGCGGCCGGCCGGCCGTACCCCGCCTCGTTGGAGCTCGCCGCCCGCCGCGGCTGAAGGTCCCCCGCGTGCTCCGCGCGGCCTCCTCGCTCCCCCGACTCCCCCGAATGGCTCTCCGATCGCCCATGAATGGCATTGCGCAGCGGTGACGTGTTTCCGTGATATCCGCCGCCTCCCCCGCCGCCACCCCCAGCGGGGATCGTTATTCTCCTTTGACCGCCGCCTCGGTTGTCTGCAAAGTCGTCGCCTTCCGTAAGCTGATGGCCCTCCTGCACCGTGCGAATCGGCGTGCGACCGGCTGGCCGTCGCACATGGTCGCCCGCTCGGCCGGGTGCAACTCCAGCGTTGGTCGGGGAGATTAGGTCTTCCGGGTATTGGATTCCCCGAGGAGCGGACACGTAAGCAGGACCGCGGTTTCGGGGAAAGTGGCGCTGCGGACTCAAGTCTCCGTCAGTTACGACTCGAGACATCGCGGCTCGATTATAACTTAAACTACCACGGTTCCAGCCTCTGCATCCTATGTGACGTAGCACAACGACGACTACGTATGCAATAACTTCAGTCGTACAAAAACACTGACGCCTTACGATAAATATTACTCGCCAGCTAAGCAATAACCTAACGTCAGGCGCGAACGGAGGGACAGTTCCATAACTAACAACCAGGCCGACACTATTCCACACAACTGACAACCGTAAAACATGAAGACACCCAACGCCTTATCCAATCATAATGACGGCTCCACGTGCAAATCTCGGAACAAGGTGCGTGGATGGGGTTCCGTTGTAGGGAAGGCTCGAAGATGTGGTTGAGGTGGCAGCGTGGGTGGGTGTGAGGCATGGAATGGAGGCATAGAGGAACAGAGCAACAGAGGAACGGGGGGACACGGGAAGGGGAGTGTGGTTGGAGGGGGGGATGAGCCCGCCAGTGTACGTGAAAAGAAAGCGCCGAAGCATCAGGTGACGATAGGTCATGCTAGGAAACGAAACGGGCAGGTAGTTAGGACATGTGTGGGACTAGCGCTAAAGGATAATATAGCTCAGCCGACGAAAACTGCCGCCCATTTTCGCGGTTCAAAACGGACAACCCCCTTCCTCGTGGTTGACGACCCCACGACGACCTCCGCGTGGAAAGCCCAGCCTATCTGGCTGGGCCCGGTGCTTGTGAGCCCTCGGGATGGTCGACGACCTGTCGACCTCGAGTTCCGCTGAGGCAATCCCGAGAAGGACGTCTCAGCCGCGTGTCAGAATACCAGCTCGGCAAGTCGGGCCGCGATGATCGCCACGCGGCCACAAAGGGACGCCCGAGATAGTCCCCTGGATGGCGGGGCCACCGAGGTCTGCCAGGTTGGACACGACGGGCCAACGGAAGGTCGGGGTGCTTCGCTTGGGAGAATCTCGCGCATGAACGTGGCAAGGTCGGTGCATACCACACGGCATTCATCCAACGGTTGCTCACATGCGCAAGGAGAAATCCGGCCGTCCACTATCTATGGCTACATGCAGTGGACACTGATGATGCGGGAATGTCGGCGTCGACCAGAAGAGCATCATCGTGGTGCCACACGGCAGTGTCTCCCGACCTCGACCTACCGAGGTGCACCTAATTCGGGACCACGCCACGTTGCCGCACGAAAGAGCCAGCGTGTAGCAGCCACGAAAAGAGCATGATGAGCGAAGCGCTGCAAGCAAGCAGCCATGCACGCCTGGTGGCACGTCGGACACGGCGCCGCCGCACGAGCGTACATGCATGGCGGCGTCGTGCACTGGGGTTTGCGTGGAGCGCCAAGTGGTGCGGAGTCGCTCACGACCATACCCATCCGTGGTCCCCGAAATGGTCGCTCATTCCGCCTGCCATTGTGTGTGCCATTGCTTTTTTTGTTTTACCACTGACTTGACGGCCGGCACTTGGATTTTCTCTAGAGGCGTAACGTCGGCGTCGTGATAGTAGGCAGACGTGGTCGCCGACCTCTCGTAGGATTGTCTGCTGTCCCGACCTGCCAGATACCGCCGACATAGAATACGCATTTAGTAGTTTATCGACCTCACCACGCCGACTTCCCATCGCCCTAGGTCGCCGTATCATGGCCAGAGGACAGCCTCGTTCGACACCGCCGCAAACCAACCCACCCCCCGCCGATGTCGACATGACGGACGTTCCGAACCCCGCTAGCTAGGGTGAGGACGTCCGCCCGGTAGACCGTACACCGACCAGTAACCCCTCGTCGACTTTGCCGCTGCTTTACGATCTCGACGCCCTGGCCCAAATTCCGCAGGGAGAGTTCACCAAGGACGTTCCGCCCGCGCCAATAGGGGAGTTCACGAAACCACGCAAAACGTCGACGCCGACGGATGCAGGGGAGGCCGGGCCGTCGTCTGTGCCGGACGGATCGGGCGACCAGGATGAGGACGATTATTCATCGGCGAGCGACGAGGACGACGAAGACGACCCGCGGCCCCGACGTGGTGCAGGTCCGCGCACGTTGGAAGAAAAACTCAGGGGGGAACGTGCGTTCATAGAGGAACTGCTGAACGAGAACGAGCTTGAGGATCTGCTGCACACGTCGGTCCCTCGAGAAATGTGGAATGCGGCCGACTTCGTAGAGGAAGATATGGTGTACGCGTGCGTCGACGTGCTCGTGATGGAGGCAATGCGCCACCTGAAAACCATAGAGGCCAAGAGCACTCTCAAGTCCTACACCTCATGGATATACGACTACAAAAGGTGGACGGCGAAGATGCTTAAAAAAATTGGCGACAAACTGCCGACAGCAGAACAAATGAGGCACGTCGACGAGATAGGGTACTGTACACACAACAACAAGAGCAAGGATTGGGACAACGAGAAGGTGGTCAAGCGGAAGCACATATGGCTGCACGGCCCCCGGGTCACTAGTACGCGACTGCGCGCCTACATCAAGTTCATGAGGCGGGAGTACAAGATCGACGCCGACACGAACGAGCCAGTGCGAGCCTACACGGTGCACATGATCCTCGGCCGCATCAAGGCCTGCCAGATGGCGGCGAGGGTGGAGGCGATGCTCTACAAGGAGAAGGAGTTGGGCATCATGCGGGAAATCTCGGTGGTCCGGTCGGAGGTGCGGGTCATGGTCCGCACGAAAAATCAGAGGGACCTCGAGTAAGTTGGCATGCATCGCCGTGTTATGTCGCCATCGATTTGTGTTCCTCGCCCTAATATTCATATCCATATATTGTTATGTCGACAGTAAATGCGCCGACCGTCGACGCGGCACCATTGGCGACACATACACCGCCGAACAGTTCCGCCAGATAATGACGAGGGTGCTGCCGGCTTGGGCGGCGTCGGCATGGAGCCCGCATTTCACCACACCTACGCAGACGCTGTGGAGGTTTCTTCTCATCAAGGTGCTCACGCTGCTCTCCCACCACAGCCTCATGCGCGGTGCAAGCATACGCGAGATAACGCTCCCCGACATCTTCCTGTACCGACTGGCGAGCACCTCGTCGGTGAACCCGGATAACCAGCCGGTCGTCATGGTGGTCGCCGCGCGGAACTCGAAGACGTCGAAGGATGCGCGTCTTCAACAGAGCTACGCGGCGCGGCACCTAGAAGCGGAGTTGTGCGCCGTCGGCGAGACCGGGCTGTGGTTACACTTCGTCCTCGACCAGATCGGCCAGTTTCACGGCGTCGACCTCATTCCGCCGGTCGACACCAGCACACGCGAGCTCTGGTACAAGAAGCACCTGTTCTTCGCCTGCAACGACCCCGAGCAGGGCAAACTCTCAGCTCCCAGCCACCAGCGATGGACGAGGCAGATGTGGAAGACGAACGGGGTGTTCTGCAAGCGGAACGTCCATGCCGCTCGGGCGGGCGGGGCGCAGGAGTTGGCCATCCAAGGTACGCCTCGCGCCGAGATAGCCGAGCTGGGTCACTGGGCTCTCGACAAGATGACTCGAGCCTACATCACATCCATTCCCGTCGGCGTGGTGATGAAGAAGGCCGGCTATTCGGGATTCACGCAGGACTACTTCTTGGGTCGCAGTAGGGTGGAACCGGGAGACGAACTCCTCGCTCTCATCGCCGAGCACATCTTCCCCGGCGTCGACGACCTCCTCAACAAGGTTTGTTTATCGGTGCCGACCAAGCTTGCATGGTACTGTCCTATCCACCACGGAAATAACCCACGTCTGATGTCTAACTGCAGGCAGAAGAACTCGCGAAGAAGGGGTCCAACGCCGACGTTGCGGCCGTGCATTTCTGGCGCACCCTTCTGATGTTCTGCCGCATTGTCGCCGAGGACCTCGCGGTGAAACTCGTCCGCACCCCTTGGCACCCGTACATCCAGTATTCCAAGCTCTGCCGGATTCCCCTCTTCCAGCACTGGGCGAAGAGGGTCGAGAAGACCGACACCGACACCATAAAAAAGCGGCAAGATCCAACCCTCATCCAGCCAGAGGTAGGTCATCTTTTATGCCGACGTCGCGATGTTATCTATGACCGCTACAACCCCTCATCTGCACCGTTATTCGCCTACCATTGCAGGAGATATCGGTCCGCCATGACGCCCAGTTCGCGGTCGTCTCCCTCACGGAGACGCTTAAGCTCGAGAGGGAGCGGTCAACGGTCCAGAAGCTCGACCTCGAGGAGAAGATCGAGAATCGCGACGCAACCATCGCGTCGCTCGCGGCCGAGATAACACGCCTCACCGAGGCTCTCCGCGTTTCAGAAGCTCGAAGGATGCCGGAGGCGCCGCCAGCTGCTAACGACCAGTCGCCGAGCGACGGTGGCTCCGCGGAGTCGGCAAGCAGGGGTGGAGGAGCCAACAAACCCAATAAACCCCCACAGACGGTCGAGGAGGCTAGCTACGAGCTGAACGTAGTGCAGCCTTGGCGGACTGCAACGACCGTCAAGGACGCGTGGCGCCTCTGGACCTCGTGCACCAGCGCCGACACCCGTCGTCTGTGCGACAGGTTCAGGGAGCCGGGATTCGTCGACCGCCACACCCTCCTCGACGGAGCCTCGCAGGGAGCACACGGGAAGAGGGTGCGCCGCATGATGAAGGTCATCGATGCGGTGCGCCAGCTTCGCAGGAGCGACGGCGAAGCCGACACGGAAGCCACCGTCGACGCGCTTAACAAGATAGCGGCGCCTGGCATCGGGACCTTCGCGGATGCCCTCACGGTGCTCAGCGCGGACGCCGTAGCGACCTATGCTGGGCAGGGTAAGGGCGTCAAAGGGCTCGGCAAGACGGAATTTTCCAAGCTTCGTGTCGCCTGTGCGTTCGTGGCGCGCGGGTTAAAGCCCGAAACGTGGGTCGCCGACCTGTTCCCGGACACCTGGGTTGAGCAGATGAAGAAGACGTTGGCCGATCTGGCCCGCGAAAACGACGCCGGGCAGCTGCCTCCGACCAATAAGTCGACCAAGCGCAAGAAAACCGCTTGAATGTTCCCAGGCCTCCTGCTACTGTGGCCTGTTGCATGTTGTAGATGTTGATGCAGCATGCCTATGTTTCATACTGATACTGATGTCGACTTTTCGTTTCTCACAATGATCCTGTTGTTCTTGGCCTAGCGGGGCATTCACGTGTCGTTCAAACTGAAGTAGACAATCATTACTAGCTAATGTGTTCATTACTCATCCTACGTAAAGTAGACAGGCACGCACAAAAAAAAACACAAAGAAAGAGCATCAAAGGGATCCGACAGCCAAAACAAGGAAAACGATATCGACCATTTCATCATCGAGTCCACGCAGCACTCAATCTTAGCAGGCCGTCGACTAGGCCGTCGTGCTGTCCTTCTTCGACATCTTGCCCTTCTCCGTGCCGCCCTTGGTCTTCGTCCCCTTCTTGCCCCTCAGACCCTTCCTCCCCCTGTTGTCAAGATCGGCCTTCATCTGCGCGTCAATTGGCACCGCGATGTCCCTCGCTCTTAGTTTCGGCCCGGCGACGGGGCACATTCCCCAAAACGCCATCGTCTCAACCATCGCTCTAGCGATAACGTCGGCATCTACTCCAGCATTCCCCCCCGGATAGACCCTATCAAGGGCGGTCCTCTGGAGTGCTGGCGCGACGTTGTAGGCAACCTCTCCCAGGGGGCGGTCCCTGTTCATCTCGGCTTTCAGCACCGCCTCCATGACTTTTCCGAATACATCGGCGGTCGCCTGGCTTGCTCCGCCGATGATCGCCGCCGACTTCCCTTCTTCCACAGCATCCGCCAGCTGGGCATCGCCGTTCTCGACGAAGCACCACACAGCGCATGCGGATGCTGCTAACGCCCATGCCGCCATATCCGTCTTCTCCTCCTTGTCTCCCTCCTTCTTCGCCGCTGCCGCAGCGGTCTTCCCATATGCAGCGCACATTGACACGCGGCCTATCATCGCCGACATCATGAACGCCGACTTCTCCCGGCCTTCCTCGGTGCTAGCATCGACTGGGTACCATATCGCTGGCAGGAGCGCGGCGTGGAGACAATCGCCTGTGGACTTGTAATGGCGATACGCGTCGAGGATCTCTGTCAGCCTGTCACGCCACCACAAACAGGGCGAACATTAGTGACAACGACAACGACATCGACTTTGAATCGGAGGATTACCGACTTACCGTGTCTTTGGAAGGAGCGTACCCCGGGCCCACATCACCGTCCACATCCCTATCGGCAAGATCCTGACCTCCTCCCACACCTCCTTCCACCTCTCCAATTCGGCGCTGTCCAAGCCGGTGAGCTCGGTCATGAGCACCTTGCTCACGAAACCGTCGTAGACGACGTACGCGATGGAGTGAACGTACGCGAGCTCCATCTTGTCCCGCGACTTGCCGATGTATCGATTGATGCCGTGCACCTTAATCTCGCCGACCCACCCTTGCTTGTCGCCCGAGGTATCGTGTCGGATGCCATGACCCCTCCTCTCCTTGCCCTTCCCCTCCTCCTCCTCCTCCTCCTCCTCCTCCTCCTCCTCCTCCTCCTCCTCCTCCTCCTCCTCCTCCTCCTCCTCCTCCTCCTCTTCCTCCTGGTCGACCTCCTCCACCTCCTCGACATCCTCATCCTCCTCCTCCGCCTTCCTCTTTCCCTTTCTCCCCTTCGAGGAACCCTCGCCGACCGCCTTCTCCTTCCCCTTTCTCCCGGTCGACGCACCTTCTCCGACCGACTTGTCCTTCCCCTTCCTCCCCGTCGACGTACCCTCGCCGGGCGACTTCTCATGATTCTCCCCTTTCCCTTCAACCTCCCCAATGCCGCCTCGATCTTTGTCCGCCGCCGTCTCCGCCGCCATCCCCTTCTGTTTATCCGCCGCCTTCACCTCCGACTTCTCCCGCGTCTTCCTCTATGAGCCCGCCTTCCACTTCCGTTTCGACTTTCCTTCACCGACCGCATCACCGGTCGCACTAGGCTCTGCCGCGATGCCGACGAGTCCTGCCGAAGGCTCCACATGTTCCGTGTCGGAGATGGCCAGGGTTCGGGGATTGGCTGCATCCAGATGGGCCTGTATGGCAGCGATATCAGCGTCTGCGGGGACCTCCTCAACGGCGCCGCCGCCGGTGGCAAGCGCGGCACGAACGCCCTTCTCCGCCGCCTTCTCCACATCAGCTGCCACATGGGTGGGTGGTGCGACATTCGCCGACGACGGCTTAGAGCCAGAGCCAGAAGCCTCCTGAGTCCTCTCAGTCGACGCTAGTGCGCCCAGCTGGGCGCGCAACAACGCGGACTTTGGGTCTGCAGGAGTACGGGCGGCGACGACCGGCACTACACGTGGCCCACTGGCCGATGGGACGTCGACAGCAGGGGGGGGCTGTTGAACAGCCCTGTGGCCAGCTAGGAGCATGAGCTGCTCCTTGAGCGCGTCCGCAACTGCCGCCCCTTTTCCCACGCGGCCAACCTTGTCGGCAGACGGTACGTCGGCATGGCGCGGGACGTCGGTAGGTCGCCCGGCAGACGGTCCGGTCGGATGGCGTGCACCCGCGGGAGACTGGTGAGGAACCGCTGACGCCTCCGCAACCCCTGTCTTCGGGCCCTGGCCAGCTTTCGCGGACCCGCCTGGGGCCGTTTTGGCGGCGGCCTTCTCCTTGTCGCGCAGGCCTTTCACACCGCTACCCTGTCGTGGTGGCTTAACGCCGACCGAAGGCGGAGCCATTGGCAGTGCGTCATCAGTGGCATGCTCGTCGGCGGGACCCCCACCACCATGGCCCGTGCTGGCCGCTCCAACCTGAGCCCAGTGCTTCCTGAGGATGTCGACCACGCTCTTCCCCGACTGCTTCAACGAACTGCCGTCGCCGGCTCCCATGCTCCCATCGCCGGCGACGCGAGAACCAGCCGCTCCCTTGGTCCGCCTCGCGCCCGCCGAATCGTCTCTGTCCCCCCCCCCCGCCGCCAGACCCCCCGCCTCCCTTGCTCCGCTTCGTGTTCGCCGAATTGTCCCCGTCGCCCCCCCCGCCGCCTCCCCGCCTCTTGTGACCCAGCTTCAAGCCCTCCGTAGGTTGCGCTTGGCCGGCGTCGTTTGCCGACGGCGACGACCCACGCCGAGCATACGCCACCGTGCCGACGACCTCGGCCATTATCTTCAGTCCGGAGGCGAGGAAGGACTGCTGCGTGGTCTCCGTCACCGCCTTCAGCACGTCCTCCTTGAAAGACTTCAGGAAATCTTCCGGCAAGGCCTGCGCTGGGCCGGTAGGCGGCGGCGGCGGCTGGACTAGGCGGGGCGAGACGGCGACGGCAATGTTGGTCTGCGCGGCGCCGATGTATTTGATGAACGACTCCTCCAACCCCTTCCTCGCCTCGCCCACCTCCGCCGTCACGTGCTCGGTCACTGTCTTCACCGCGGTCGCGCGTGCGACCGCCGCTCGTCCCTTGGGGTCGTCAAGATCCAGCAGCGTCTGCCTCGCTAGCTCGGCGAAGGACTTGGCCGATTGAATGGCGCTGTCCATGTTGTCGGTGAGGCCCTCGGTGATTGTGGTCGCCATGGTCGACGTGGCCTCTTTGAGGCGCTCCTCCGATTTCCGGTCGGTGTCGGCGACCTGGGCGGTCAAACCCTTCACCTTCTCGAGGAGCCCAGCTAATGCCGCCGCCAAGCTGTCGACCCGCCCCGTCTGCTCACCGAGCCGCCGTTCAAGGAGTGCATTGTCTGCACGCAATCGCCTGTTCTCCGCCCTCAGCTGATCGACGACGTCCAGCCGCGCCTGCCGCCCAGCCGCGGTGGAACCGGGATGACCGCTCGCCGCCTTCTTCCTCCTAGACCGCTCCCCGCCGGCCTTCTCCGCGGTGGCATCGGTATGCACATCCACGCCCCTCTGCTCCGGGACCGCGGCGTTATCCCCTTCACCGACCTCGACCATGCCACCACCTCCGTGAGCCGCCTCCACGCCGACCTCGCCGATATTCGCTGTCGCACCCTTCCCCTCCCCTTCGTCGTTCTCGACATCCGCCGATCTCCCACCCGTTTCCTCCGCTCCTCCGACAACGTACCCCTCCGCCATTTCCACGTCCTCCACCTCTACCAACTGCTCCTCCTGGTGCTGCCTCTCGTGCTCCTGCGTCTCCTGCTCCTGCTCCTCCTCCGACTCCGAGCCCGACCCCGATCCCGACCCCGACCTCGACCCCGACGACTCCTCCGAGCCCCCCTCACCCTCACGTTCCTCCTCGCGATCCTGGACCCCATCATCATCCCCGTGAACAACCTCAGTCCCGGTCACCCCCTTTCCTGCGGCCGCATCGGCCTCGTCGACGCCGACTCCCGACTTGCCACGCGCATCAGCGACGTTCGGGGCGACCCCTACTGGTACGGATGCAGAATGGACTTCCTCGCCGTCGTTGTCACAGGCGTCGGCAACAACAACGGTTTTCCCCGACCGTATGAGCGGGACTTGCTTCTTGATGAGGGCTACCATCTCGTTCCGCAGCGCCTTCAACCCCGAGACGGTGGGCTTGTCCATGCTGGTGGCAATGCGACGGAGGTCGCCGGTCAGGCGCTGGAACCGCCTCACAGCCCAGATCAACGCGCTCATTGCTAGCAGGCCGGAGCCCGCGTCCGAGTCCCGGACGGTATCGGGAATTTTCTGCATACAACAGTGCAGAGAGCAAGGATGAGGGCGGCGTAGATGTGACACCATATGACGGCAAATCGTCCGGAACTCACATCTCGAAGGGGTTCGTCGCAGTCGGCGAGCCTCTCCTGCACCTCGTCTTCGGACGGCTTCGCCCACTCCCATTTCCTACCCTCGCGCTGCAGCTCGGCCAGAACAGCGGTCCGGAAAAACCTGCAAAAGCACGGCAAGGACGGTCGGTTAGCACGGTGCACGTGCCGTGTCGACAATGTATGCGATGTCGACTAAACTATCGAGCTCACTTCAGCACGCGGATCGCCTCGTCGCGGTGCCACTCCTTCACTGTCTGCGGGTCGGCGTGCCGGATCGAGGTCCTGACCTCCTGCCCCGAGGCATTGAACAAATCGCCGGGGCACAGGATGAGAACGACGCTGCAATGTGCTCCCGGAAGCGGTGCGATGCTGCACAGACAAGGCACGTCGATGGCGCTCAGAACAAATCACCGACACAGGTTGCAGCACACAGCAGGACCTCGAACCTGCTCACCTCGATATCAGTGGGATAACCGCCACGTCGGCGTCGAAAATCGTCGCAAAGCATGTGTGGTCGTCCTGACCCATCGCCGCCCGAAGCCGGCCGACTCCTATCGACCACAATCGCTCGCCTGCATCCGTTGAGCGGATCCATGCGTGCCTGCACGCATGCATGATTACAACAAATTAGAGAGGTATAGGTGCGCGGCACGACGGTGGAATGACGGGAGCCGAACGACTTCGGCACAACTCAGCGTCGTCGACGACCTAGCGCATTACGTCGGCATCACCGATGTGATGTGCCTGAACTCTAAGCCCGTCGACATATACTACTGGACGCATTGAAACCCCGCCATGGCCGACCAGCATGGAATAGGCCCGTCGACGACGACATCTCCATAAGACACTCACTTGAGACCGAGTCCCAAACAACGGGCGTTAAACTCTAGCATAGGGTTTGTCAGAATGGCGTAGTCGTGCTCTTCGAACTTGGCCGTGTGTCCTCTACCGATGTCTAGATGCAGGGGGAAATCTAGCGAGGTCGGCGCCGCTTCGGCGGCTTTCTGGCCGGCTGCCATGGCGGGAGAGCGAGGATGCTAAGGGAAGAAACGGTGGGAGTATGGAAGGCGCCGAGGTGGGAGGAAAAATGAAAGAGAAACGAGAATGCGAAAATGAGGGGCCAATCCACCTCCAACGAAGAAAAGCCAGGCGGAGCCACGCAGGCCCGGTTGAGCGTCGCCCAGGGGGTCGTGATGCCTGGCTCGGCAGGGCTCGTGCACAAGTTGCGTGGCACAAGTGCACCCTCGCCGCCGAGCCAACAGGTCGACGTCACGTCCCCCGGCCTCGGTCGGCCAGGGGACGCAACTTCGCGTGGGCGCGGTGCGACGTTTCGGCACCACGTGTCGATTTCGCAGAGGGTCGCGAAAGCCGTGCGCCCCGTGGCGAACGACCCAGTTTTCGCTCGAGTTTCGGGGGGTACGAAATGTCTCATGCATGCGATGCGAAATGACGGGCGAGCACGTGGCGTCACCGCAACGGGTCGCGAAATAGTCGAGCGACCCGAGGGGAGCCCCCGATTTTCGCGTGGACCTCGCCTGCCCGTACGGGCAGGCCGCGATGGGTTACTAGGACCTCGCGGGCACGAGGGAGGGGTGGGCTGCCTTCGCGGCAGGGTTACTTTCCCTCGCCCGAGGTCTCGCCAGCTCGCCGCCCCCACCCGGTAACGTGGGTCGCTGTTCACTCTCGGGGGGGGGGGTTGCGGGGCGGCGGTCGTGCGCCCGGCCCAGCCCAGGGCCAGGCTGGCGGGCCCGCACGCGCATCACTCGCCCGCCTCGTCAGACCCCTGTCCGTCGACCCCCCTCGTCGACCCTGGCAACTCGGGTCCGTCGACCTGATTCCGCTGGGATCTTCAGCGCTAAAGGTCAGGGTTAGGGTTCCAAGTGGGAGTGCGTTTTGTCGCTCTTCTCGCTTGGATCTGAACGAGTATATTAGTTCAAAATTTCAGTCAACCTGAATGAAATTGAGTACTTTCCAAGGCTTGCAGGTAAACGTACGAGTGTAAGGAATTTTCTTTCTATTTTTTACCGCGACCACCAACATCTCGTACAACAGCAGCCGTTGTTCGCCCGTTACTACTAACTTCGCGCGCACTGTTTCACCAAACCTCGCACTGCTAGAACAGCCGAGTCGGCCTACGCTAAGGACTAGCCCGAACCTCGCGCCAGCGTAGCACTAGCTAGCTCGCACGCACCGCGTTACCGTTTGCATGTCTTCGTCTATAAGTATTCGCTCATGCATTCGCTCATACTTAGTACTCTTTGAACACTCTATTGCAATCCTCGCTACCTCGATTCATTGCACCCGTAACACTTGGTTATCGCAGCCACTTTCGACCGCGCATCTCCGCACCCCAGGAAATCAACTTTTGATTTTTTCACTCGAAGGGACTCACGCTCCTTAGCACCTAGGAGCCGCTTGTCAAAATCCCAACCACTAGACCATTGGGATAAAAGGGCTTGTTTTAGTAGCGGGTCAATGCGCCCATACCCCCCCAGGCAAACGCGCCTGTAACCCCCCCTAGGATCGATCAGGGATCTCACAGTGTAGCTCTACTGACATCCCCCCACACTGGGAGGCCCAGGACTGAGCACAGTAGCAACGGCCAACATGTGCATATACCGGGATTCGAACCCGAGACCGCTCTGATACCATGTAAGAATCCCAACCACTAGACCATTGGGATAAAAGGGCTTGTTTCAGTAGCGGGTCAGTGCGCCCATAACCCCCCAGGCAAACGCGCCTGTAACCCCCCCTAGGATCCATCGGGGATCTCACAGTGTAGCTCTACTGACACCGCTGTCCTTGCGTTCTCGCGTAGACGCGTCCAACCACGATTGCGCCTTGACTAAGCTGAGCTGACGCCCTTCGTAATGGCCAACCACATCGACGTCACCACACTTATGCATGACCGCTTGAACCAACTGCCGCGCCAACTCCACGAAAACTTGGAAGAAATCGCAGCGCTGACGGCGGAACGCACGTCCCTACTAAATGACGTCCCACGAGCACAACAAGCACAATCACAAGCACCTGGCACTCTGGCACAACCTGCACCACAGGCATCGCAGCACGGAAGTGTGGGGCAACCCGCGAGCGCGGCCAGTTGAGGAAAGTAGAACGAGAATGAAATGACTAAGGAATGGAAGTGATACAAATGTGCAACCCTAGAAATGTGTACCCCATATAGGCTACCCCACTATAGCCTACACAATATTATAATTTGACACACCCCCATAAGCAAAGTGGGGGAGAGCAAGGGGTCACAAGACTAGTCAAGCAAAGCAGATAAAGCTCAGGGTGGATCACAACGTCACCACACAGTCCGAGCACAAGGTCAAGGCCACAAGGCCAGTTCACATGCAGGAGCACACATATATATATAAGGCTAAACAAGCAAGAGCAGGTATATATATATGTAAGAGTACAAGCAAGGTCAAGGGGTGAGCAAGTGAGGCAAGACAGGCACAAGACCCAGCTGAGTGCAGAAGCGCTGATGATCACAAGGCGGAAGTGCCTTGGTGAAAACATCCGCAGTGTTGGCCTCAGAGGCCACGTACGCAAGTCGCAACTCACCACGCTGCTGCAACTCACGAGCAAGAAAGTAGCGGAGAGCAATGTGCTTTGTTCTGTGCTCCAGGCGCTGCTCCCGACACAAGGCTAGCATGGCCTTGTTGTCTACGTACAGCACCGGAGGAGAACGAGGCGGCTCTCCGAGGTCAGTCAGCAGGTAGGTAAGCCAGCGAAGCTCCTGTGCAGCCATGGCCCCGGCGTAGATCTCAGCCTCACAACTGGAGCCGAGAACAGAAGACGAGCGAGTAGCCCGCCACAAAACAGAGCCGGAACCAAGGCTGAAGGTGTAACCCTGTGACGACCGCTGCGTAGCCTGGTCGTCTACCCAAGAAGCGTCCGCGTGCCCAGTGAGGACCACTGGACTCTGCCCTCCAAGCACAAGCCCCATGCCCGACGTACTGCACAAGTAGCGCAACACCCTCTTTGCTGCAGCCATGTGCTCTGGTCTGTGTCTCCCAGGAGCAACATAGCGTGCAAGAATGCTAAGAGGGTATGCAAGGTCAGGTCGTGTGCAGGTCATCAGGTACATGAGGCAGCCAACAAGCTCTGGGTACGGGCCACTCGACTCTACGGACTCATCTGAAGGCAGAGCTGAGAGCGAGTGGCGAGTAGACAGAGGAGTGGCCTGAGGCGAGGAGTACGTGAAGCCGAAACGCTGAAGGACCTGCTGCACCATGTGCGACTGAGTCAGGGTAATGGTGCGGCGTGCTCTGTCCCGGGTGATCTGCAAGCCAAGGTAGCTGCGCAGTTCACCCAGGTCTGTGCACGTGTGTCTCTTCTGCAGCTCGGACTTCACGTGGGCGAGTCCAGCAGTGTCAGCTGTGGCAAAGACCAAGTCGTCGACGTACACGAGGATGTAGAACGGCGGCAGAGAGGTGTCGGTGCGTAGATACAGCGACGGGACAACAGTAGAGGGAGCAAACCCAAGAGCCGCAAGTGTAGTCCTCAGTGTGTCGTGCCACTCGCGCGGTGCCTGGCGGAGACCGTAGACTGGCCGTCGGAGGCTCCACTGGGTGCCAGAAGGGAAAGACCCAGTGAAGCCAGGTGGACGGCGCAACCAGATCTCCTCGTGCAGGCTACCCTGCAGGAAAGCAGTGCTGAAGTCAAGGGAGTGAAGCTCGAAGTCACGCTGAGCGGCTACGTGTAGCAGCACCCGAAGAGTGGTCATCTTCGGGGTGGGAGAGAAGGTCTGAAAGTAGTCAGCTCCCGGTGGCCGCTTCACCCTGAAGATCCACATGCCACTGAGGATGTTCGCCCCAGGAGGGGGAACCGCGTCAATGTAGGTGCCTGTGGACTTCCAGGAAGCCATCTCTGCATCCATAGCTGCCTCCCACTTAGAGGAGTAGGGACCCTCTACGGCCTCCGCGTAAGAGCGCGGAGTCGGGATGTCAAGTGCATCCGGGTCTCCCTTAGGGGTAAGCAGTACGGACACGAGATGAGGTGAAGCAGCAGCCAGACACTGGAACTCCTCCTGCCTGTCCTCGAGGACGTCCGTGCCAAGAGCACACTCACCCCCGACGGACGGAGGACAGACAGACGCAGACTCAGCAACAAGACTAGCAGCGAAGTCTAGACGACAGCGAGCAGCAAAGTCGACGAGCTCAGCAACAAGAGCAGACGCAGCAGTGGACTCAAAGGAGGGGTCAGTGACGACAGTAGCAAGGAGACGCGTGACAGTAGGACTGGCAGCACGAAGAGAGTCCGACTCAGGGTCGGGAAGCACAGGAAGAGAGGACTCAGGAGGAGAGGGCAAAGGGGCACGCAGAGGAGCAGTGGACGGACGCAGAGACATCCGGTGCGTGCCAGGGACAGGAGGAGGACGGTGACGCGAACTGCGACCACTAGTGCGAGCAGCACGAATAGGCGACGCAGGACGAGACGCAGGCTCACGACGCTCAGCAAGACCTCCAGTAGGACCAGTGTACAGAGAAGGAGAAGGCAGAGGGGAGGCCGGCGGT